TTACAGAGTGCTTTTTCAATAAATACTCCATTTCACAAATATACACAAAATATATACAACCCCAAATCAGAAAACAGGGCGGGATGGAAAATGCAAATAAAAAAGAGAAAGCAGTGATTTTGAAAATGTACTTTAACGTATTTCATGGTAGACAAGATATTTCATGCTTTGTCTTGACAATCACATTTATTGGTAAATATATATCCCATCCTGCCATTCAGGCCTGCAACACATTTCAAAAAAGTCAGATGGAGACAATTTAGGGCTAGTAGTGAGTAAAATAATTAAATAATAATATGATTTAAAACAGGTGATGCCAACAGGGTACGCAGCATCAAGGAAAGGCCTAGTTCTTTAGAAGCAAAGATGGGCAGAGATACTAGAATATGGTGCAAGAATAAAAATTGAAATAAATATTATAATGTGCTGTTGTATTGTTTTCAATGTAATACAGGTCAAAAATAATTTACAAATCACTGCTTTCAGTTTGCCCTGCGATGGACTGGCGACCTGTCCAGGGTGTATCCTGCCTTCCGCCCAATGACAGCTGGGATAGGCTCCAGCACTCCACCGCGACCCAGAAGGATAAGCGGTTTAGATGATGTATGTATGTATGTATGTATGTATGCTTTCAGTTTTAATTTTAATTTAACATACCGTCCCAACTTTTTCAGATGTGGGGTTGTATACATTTTTCATGATTAATGTTGTCAACTTTGCCGACTAATTGTTGCAGCCTAGCCATCACTAGCATAGAATAGAATAGCATAGCATGGAAATAGCATGAAAAATGACAGATTATGGATAAAAAGACAAAAGATTATGGATAGCACTCTGTATGAATGCTGTCTTGTGGCCCACTGTGTCTTATATCTCCTGCCACTCCATCACTGTAGATTCTGTGGAGAGGAGGAAGAGAAGGCACACAAGGGACACTGCACTGTTGTTAAGTAAAGGCTGTGGAGTAGCCCGAGTCAGCCAGCCACCAGAAAGCAAACTAATTACCAGCACAGCAACACAGGAGGATAGACCTGCTTTGCCCTACAAGGAAATCATTATAGAGACGCTGCTTTTCTTTACTTTTGTTTACTGTACTATTTTTATACTTTAAAATAATAGTAAAGGCATCAAAACTATGAAATAACTTTATGCAGAGACCAAAAAAGGGTGCTCAAAAAGATTCATCCAATTTCAAAGCGCCATATTTTTACAACCGTGAGGCGCCTAGGAACCAATCACAATCCAACAAATATGTGAAAAGTTTATTGTTTTGTGGAAAGTTGTCCTGTACATTTTCACCAAACATCATTTTTTGACATCAAAACAATCAGAAAAGAATGCCAAAGGGAACTTGTCACTACAAAATGTAAAGTAAATATAATTATGTAATGAAAATGTAATTATGTAACTCAATTAAAATACAGGGTGATTCAAAAAGATTAATCTGATTTCAAAGCGCCATATTTTTACAACCGTGAGGCGTCTAGGAACCAATCATATACCAAATAAAAAGAGGGGGTCATAGAGTTTCTGACTGTCAGTATGGCAGTGAACCTCCAACAGCTTAGAGCATTCGTCGTTGGTACCAACAGTTCCAAGAAAAAGGTCACCAGAATCACCAGATCTCACGCAGTGTGACTTTTTTTTTAGGGGTACGTTAAGGATTCTGTTTATGTGCCAACAACACTGGAAGATCTCCGAAATCGCATTGAAAGAGCCGTGAGTACAGTGATACCGACATGCTCAATCGAGTATGGGATGAATTTGACTATGGCGTTGATGTTGTCCGTACAGCTGGAGGAGGTTCATATTGAGCACTTGTAAAATTACATAATAAACTATATGCTCAATTAAACCATTAACAGTTCACTGCATTGTTCTGTAATGATTTACAAGTGAAATAAATCATTTTGAAATCGGATGAATCTTTCTGAATCACCTGTATTATACAAATAAAAATGCCTGTTTTAGATTCTTCAAAGTAGCCTCTCTTCTCCTTTCTCCATCTTTAAAAACTCTTATCATTCTCAACTCTCAAGAAGCTCTATGAGGACCAACCTGGAATACTTGGATTGAAGGAGATGCTTCCTACAACTCAGTTCGACGGGTGAAGAGGAGGCAGACAGGCCGCGCTCGATCAGTTGATGTGACGTCTCAGGAGGCTGCATGATAAGCAATCTCCTTCGAGGTGCAACAAGTGGATTGCACACAGCTGTCGGCCTATGCTGAATGACCTCTCCGATAATTGGTGTGAAATGAGGAAGGATGAGCGAGTGATAAAGACTGGATGTAGAGAAGGGAGAGAGAGGTAGGAATCTGATTGTCTCCCGAAGTGTTACAGCTGGTGAAGGTAAGCAGGGATCCGATTTGTTGCGGAAGGAAAACGTGACATTTCCAGGTAGCGAATTCCAGCAAACTATCTCCGTCTGCGTTTAAAGGTTAAGGCATCACTGTTCAAATCCACCGAATTCAGGCATGGTGAGGCATCAGCCTGTGGAAGCGTAGCTGCTGCACGCCGGGGAAGGTCACTGAATCACACGTAATGTGGAATGCGCTGCTCGGGGAATAAAAGAGTGTGCGTCACACAGAGCTAATTAACTAAGATGAAAAATGGACTGAGACTGGATTGTAATTTAGATATGAGCACGCACATAGATATGAAACCAAAAGCCACGAAATATCATCTGTGTTAGGTCAACATCCTTCCATCAAATTTAAACTTACTGAAATTGCTTTGCGAAAAATTACAGAGTTTTTGTCAAATATGTGAAAAGTTCATTGTTTTGTGGAAAGTCCTGCACATTTTCACCAAACTTTTTGACATCAAAACAAACAGAAAAGAATGCCAAAGGGAACTTGTCACTACAGAATGTTAAGTAAATATAATTATGTAATGAAAATGTAATTATGTAACTCAATTTAAATACAGGGTGATTCAAAAAGTAACCAATCACATACCAATTGAAAGAAGGGGGTCATAGAGTTTCTGACTGCCAGTGTGGCTGTGAACCTCCAACAGCTTAGAGCATTCGTCATTGTTATCAACAGTTCCAAGAAAAAGGTCACCAGCATCACCAGATCTCACGCAGCGTGACTTTTTTTTGTGGGGGTACGTTAAGGATTCTGTTTATGTGCCACCACTCCCAACAACACTGGATGATCTCCGAAATCGCACTGAAAGAGCTGTGAGTACAGTGATACCGACATGCTCAATCGAGTATGGGATGAATTTGACTATGGCGTTGATGTTGTCCGTACAGCTGGAGGAGGTTCATATTGAGCACTTGTAAAATTACATAATAAACTATATGCTCAATTAAACCATTAACAATTTACTGCATTGTTCTTTAATGATTTACAAGTGAAATAAATCTTTTTGAAATCGGATTAATCTTTTTGAATCACCCTGTATTTAATGTAAATTGAAACAACAATAAAACTCGGAGGGTTAGACAATGCTTACACAGAAAGGGTGTTTTTGCCTGCAAAGGAAAGTTGTCTGAGTAGGTGTGAATTCAGCAGAGTGTGAACCATCCATGTTCATAACACAAGGCTGACTGAGCCAGCCAGCATGCCACTGGCGCTAGCCAACCATTGTTAATGACAGACAGGGCTGAGTTTGTTTCTGAAATCTTGTATAAGCAAAAGATCCACCCCACATGACAGACATGTCAAAGCAGAGATTAAGAAAACTGCTAATGGTAAACTCAACAGAGCCAAACATGCCATTTGTCCTTTTCTTTTTGGCTCACCCTCAACACTGGTCATTAAAGCACTTTTAAAAGCTAATGAATGCAAGCACAATAACGAGCGGCCTTAGCCTTCCCAGCTCCATCATCGACTCAGCAATTAGGCACTCAGCTGTGAGAGATTCAGCTCCATTAATGGTTTCGAAGTTGACATGTTACACACTGCTTGCAGCACTGCCCTGTTTAAATCAGGGACAGATAGGATGCTGCTGTGGCTGAGATACAGAACCTCACATGGGAATAGCTAAGGGTGGGTGATATGGCGAAAGTATAACGTCATGATGCTTCAAGACATTTTCACAATATGTATCACAATATTTTGCTTTTCTTTTACTTTGAAAATGAACTAAAAATAGAGTATTTACAAAGTAACCAAGGATAAATTAAGCAATTAGTAAAAATAAATAAATAAAATAAGATAATGTTCTGACATTCAATCAGTTGCTTGTCTTTATGCAGTTACTATACAGTGGTTGTTGTTGTTGTTGTTTACAGGCTCTTCATTACTGGTCTTTTTTATGATCTATACAGTAGTTCAGTGTTCCAGAAGTACTGATGATAAAGGTGGGTTGAGAATGAATTTACACTCAATTAAAAGTATTTTTACTTCATTAATGCCAATGATGTTTAGTAACTCAAGTAAAAGCACCCTTTCAAACCAAGTTGAGTACAAAAGTAGCTCAAAAAAACATTTAATTGCTGTAGAAGCACTGCAGTGAAATTCTTAGTATATTTATCATCTATCAGTGGAACTTAAGCTATTTAAGGCTCTATTCTTCTCTTTTTGATGCATTCTCAGTCTAAAATAAAAGGCTAAACCTCAGAAATCAGTGGTGTGACCAAACGCAAAGCAGTTCAGTCACCAACATAAAGAAATTGAACACAAAAAAATCCGTCATTAAATGTTAATGAGTAAATGAAACTAGTTACTTCCCCCTTCTGATGATGTGCTCAGACAGATGTATCGTGACCTAATTTACGATAACACTAACTCACTATCATGTTGCCCACCCCTAGCAATCGCTGATTCTGAACATGAGAACTGGCTGAAACAAAATTATTCTTTCTAAAAACCTTCTGAATTACCTTCTTGTGATAGGCACTGACACTTGAGGCTGGAAATCCTACCAGAAACTTCGCTGCCAAGTGAAGTTGGGCTGTTTGGTGACATTGTGATATGAAGGAACATGGTCCAAAGAGGCCAGCTGTTTAATATTGCAAGACAACCAGGCTATTTTTAAAAGCACTCACCTGATCTTCAAAAGAAAGCGCCTGTCCCACATCCCGGGGGAAGCCATCTATGACTATGCCATTTGCATCTGGTATCTTCATGATCTTCTGCTTGATCTCAGTGATGGTTGTCTCCTATTGGGGAACAATAATGGAGTTCAGTCACACAGGAGAATTTTTGTCCAACAATATTGATTGATACAGGTTTCAGGATGTAAACTTTAAAGATATCCTCATTTAGACCCTTTGGCTGTCTCTCTAAAACTGTTCCCTATCCAATAATGAAGAACAGCCTATTTCTTCTGTTCTCCAATCCACATTAGCAACAGCTGAGTCAGACACATTTAAAGCAACAGGGTATAGAATGTGCTTTATATTTTGAGCTGCTATTTACACCATAAGCCCTAATCATTTTAAGGACCAATGCCATTTTAAAACCATGTAGAGAAAAAGTCCTTGTGCAAAGCTGAATGTGCACAACCTCCAGGGCTGAAATGGCGGCAAGTGATTTTTCAGATAAGGACGCTATCAGCATTTCAAGGGCGACGGATGTGCCGTCCTTTTCTAGATCGTTCCCAATCACGGAAACAGTTCCTGTGCTCTACATCTCGCTCCCCACATCTCAGCATCTCTGATCTTTTGTTGACAGGTTTTCCCTTGTTGCCACCGAGCTTTCCTCCCCAGAGAAGCTGGAGCTGAATTGTTAATTTTAAAGGCTGGATACAAAGAAAGGAATCCGTGACTCATGACACGTAACTTAGCATTTTAAAGTCATTTCTCAACTTCTTATATAGCAGAGTGGTGTCTTTTTAGTGTATGCTGGAGGGCAATGTGCAAGCAGTGCATATCTAATGATGCAGAGGGAATCATTTAGGATGCAGATGAATACTTAGTGTGGGACAGCTCTAAAAATATGCCCGACTTGACTTGTTTGCCCTGGAGTTAAAAAAAATGCAGGAATGGAATCTGTACAGCCTAAAGCTCTTTCTTCCCCAGGTCAGCTGGATGAGGCTGAGAACTGTTTTAACTGTAGGACATAGAGGCTGCTGTCATACAAGCAGTACCATCCTGACTGCTCTACATAACAAAATGCAGCATCCAAAAATAGTTCATTGGAGTATATTGAGATTTTAATGCTGTGCTATCCGATTTTGTGTGCTTTTCTTTAAGTAGGACGGCAGAAAAATAGCAGTATTTTGATACATATAGTACAGTGTAAGCACTGAATCAACAATAATGAATGTTCACTTACCAGCCACTTTATTAGGAACCCTTCTAATACCGGGTAGGACTCTCTTTGCTTTTAGAACAGTCTGAATTCTTTGTTGCATGGATTCAACAAGGGTGGGAAACAGTCCTTAGAGATTGCCTTATGTAATTGATGCAGATTCTTCAGCTGCACATTCATGTTAGATTCTTCTGTTCTACCACATCCTATTGGATTGAGGTCTGGTGACTGGGGATGCCACTGAAGTTCAGTGAATTGACTGTCATCTTCATGGAACCACTTTGAGATGTGCTTTGTCACCATTAGGTGAATTATCATGCTGGAAGTAGCCTTAGAAAATGGGTAAATTCTGATGCACAGGGTCTGCAACAACACTCAGATAGGCTTTGTTTCTCAATCAATGCTTGAGTGATAATAGGGATCCCAATATTCCCCACACAGCACCACCACAAGCAGCCTGAACTGTTGACACAAGGCAGGTTGTTTCCATCGATTCATGCTGTTTATGCCAAATTTTGAATCCCAATTAGAGGATAACTGCATGACTAAACAGGTGTTTCTAATAAAGTGACTGGTGAGTATATCTTGTACTAGAGCTCATAATAAAAGCTGACAACAACCACTGTTGGAACCCTGAACTTAGGCTCTGTTCACATTACCAGGTTGAAGTGGAACAAATCTGATTTTTTTGTCCTAATGTGACTCAGATCTGATGATTTCAGGGCTGTGTGGACATGCAAATCTGATCTCTCTAAATCCGACCTAAGTCACTTTCATATGTGGTCCTAGATCTGATACGTATCCGATTTGTGGCCATGTGGCCTTAATGTGATTATTTAAACAGAATGCACTTGCCCATGGCAGGTTAGCCTCAGTGAGCTAATTGGCTAGCCATGCAAATGGCAATGCAAAACTTTTTTTAAGAATTGTGAGCATAACGTACATGACATATATGAGCTACTGCTTTGTTTAGCTATAAATTTGGAGTAGAACCGTGCTGTAGTACCTTTCTTTTTGTTCTTGTTAGCTGTGTAGCCTTTGGCACGCTAATGAGCCAGCTAGCAGAGGAAAGTAATGAAGTTGTATTAGCAGTCATGTATAATAAATGTAGTAGTTCGTAACCCAAAGCCCAGCAAATCAAATAGTTTTGAAATGTGAAGCATTTTAAAGTACTTTATTGCTACAGCTTATAAACAGCTTTGTTCGCCATTATTTATGGTTTGAAAAGGGAAATGTGCTGGTTCGCTATGATTTCTGGGCAAATTTTGCTGCTGAAGTCGACTCTAGCCCTTCTGAGGCCTTCACTTGAGCTAATAAAGTAGTGAAATGGCCTTTACGATGACGCTGAGGGTTGCCCCGAGGGAAAATGACGAGGCTAAGTGGACGAGCGCTTGTTAAAACTGCTATTTAAAAGGGGGGCAATTGTATTTCCCTCAAGTAAAGGATTCTTCTACTTTGTCCACCATTGAAGGCCATAAGCAATCACATACAAATGTATTACGTATTGAACATATATTGATATTTGGTATATATTGATGAAATATGACATTATTGACAGTACAGCTGCAATCATATGAATTGCATAACAACAAAATTAGATCCTGGAATTCAAAGCACATATTTCCGAACAAATTCCTAATTATTAATTAATACTTATCATTCATAATTATGTTAGGTTTTAATACCTAATTATGTATGAGCACATAGTATAGCCTATGCTCCTTTCCTCCTTTAATGCATGCATTATATTTTATGCATAATGTACTTTAAACAGGCCAAAATTTGCTTTTCTCTCTGAGGCAAATGTGGGTTATTTTTAGCCCCTTAAAATCAAACAGCCCACACTTCAATTCCTCACTCTCAACTACACAACTTACATATCAGATTCACAGTAGTTACTGAATAATCTGTACTAGTTACTGGAAAATAGGTCTTAAGATTAATCACTGAATAATAAGCCTAGAGTTTTAGGTGTTAATTCATTTTAACAGACAATTTAATGCTAAGAAATCCTTCCAAACTTCAGAGCTTCCAAGTGTGAACCTGAGTGAGAAAAAATGACACCCACGCCCTTGTTTTGAGCACATGAAGTGATGATCCAAATTTTTTTCAAGCAAGTATTGCTTTTTGATTACACAGAATAAGCAGCAGGCATTACCAACCAGTTGGACAAAATGACCCTGTCATACTTCCGTAGACTATGACGTTAACATGTATGGCAGATGTTCCTGTTTGACCTAATCCAGTAATCTTTGCCGGTGTGTCTTTATCTCTCTGTCAGGGAAAGGAAAGCCTGACTTGTCGTCTGTCCGATCATGTTAGTATGTATCTGAGGCAGCTTTGGATTAGTGGCTCACGTTGTCCATTTCATCCTATCAAGAATAAGCCTCATGGGTTGATGCCCTTATTTCTCTTCAAACTTACACAGGGGTCCTGCTTCTGGGAACAGAAAGCCAAGCACACGTTTTACGGTTTGTTTATCTTTTAAGCCCTGCACTACAAATCTCTCAAGCTTTTGTGCTCAGCTTCCTTTAAAAATGAAGAGGAAAGAGTGTGGAGCCACATAACCTGATTGCGGGGCTGCGGGGAATTTGGTATGTGTTATTGTTGGATTTGCGAACACATTGTGGTGGTACACAGATATGTGAATATAGTGCACTAAGCAAGTAGATTTTTTCATTACAGAAGGAGCTGCCTAACCCTGTTCTTTTCATAATACGCACACAGATAGATGCAAACACACAAATCTATTCTGGGCTTTTTCCTGGTGCCTCAAGAGAAGGTAAGTGTTGTGTGTCTGCATCTGAAAGGTGTTCACAAAGGGAATGTATGATGATGATTTGTGTTTCTGAAAATGAGTCACCGCCGACAGAGCCAGGAGGGAGGCAAAGAAGATGAGAATATTTAAAACAGAGAGCTGAACAGTGATGCTGAACATCAGCAATCCATGTTTTTAATATACTGTCACCTTCCAGACAAAAACAAGTATCTCCAAAACACTAAATTTACAGGAGAGGGCAAAAATGTTCTTTCCTTTCCTTTCCTTTCCTTTTCTTTCATTTCATTCCTTTGTATGTTAATGTGAGGAGATTTTATTCCAGGCATTTTTGAAAGATTTCTATGGGTCCAATCTCCATGAAATGTGCACACAATGTAAACAACAACTGCTGCGCTCAAATGTAGAAAGGTAAAAACTGAAAAAAATGGAGATACATGTTTTTCTTTGGACAGTGACAACATATTCTTCCACAATAACAACTTAAAAGCGTAGCAGTATTAAGCATTCATAAGACAACACTTTGAGTTTGTCCTCAAAACTCAAAAAAGATTAACCCATATTTATGTTGCACTATGACTGAGTCAAAGCTCATTATAATGTCTCACTGTCCAAAAATCCAAAACCAGCCCTACTGCAACTACAACATTTGCTCTCTGTGTAGCATTATATCACAATAAGGTAGTAAAAAAAAAAGAACCCTTTCCTTTGACCTCTGAGTTTTCGTATGGTTCAATATCCAGTCATAATTAATTTATTATTAATCCTTATTATTAATAGGATTAACACCGCATCCCTAGGAGCTGGTTTCTTGGAAATGGCTTAAGCCTAGACTTGGCCTAAAAATAGCAATGTCAATGGTGTTTCTCTTCTCTGTCAATAACATGATTTCTCAGTTCTGTTGTTTCATTTATTTGATGTATATAATGAATAATAATAATTAATTAATAAATAAAGACATTTGTTTGTGTCACAAGCTACCATTTTGAACAAGAAAACACAAACAGGAATAGAAGTCACAGATTAGTAGTGTTTTATCGTTACTCTGATTAAAACAATTAAAAATAAGGTTTTAATTGTGCTCTGAATGGATTGTATGTTCACTTGCAAAAAATACAGTTTATCCAACAATAAAACCTTTTGCATCTTTCCTATAGTGATATAAAACACAAAAAACTGGCCAATGTGGATATACATGCGCCGTAACTCCCCTGGCAGCAGATGTAAACGAGTTTAAGGGGCAGCTGCCAAATTCTCAGAATGGATCGCCTGCAAGACGCTCGGTTCAACAGGGTTAAGAATCTTATTTAATCTATGTTCAGGCTAATTTGGGTCTGTGAGACCAGCCATATGTGAAACTGATTCATTTCAACCTGCTCCGCTATCAAAATGATAATATATTTTGGAATCAATAAACCCTAGATGGTTTTGCTTCCACTAGGCCCATCCGCTATGAGAAACATGGGAGAGCACGGTGTCAGTGATAACTTGACCAGGGGCCGTATTATAGAAACTTTCTATCTTTTTGTTGAGTTTGTTTAAGGTCAAGATAAGATTTTTCACAAATTCGTATCACAGAAGTAAATCTTATCATGATTTAAGAATCTTATCTTACAGCATCTTAAGTTGGGAAATCTTAACTTACTCGACAGAAGTCGACCATCAACTGTCATGTCTGTTACCTAGCAACCGACCATACATGCACCGCTGAAACGTAAACATGTAATCAAGTTAGTTAGCCAGACAGCTAAGGTACTGAGGTATAAACGTCAAATAAAACTAAAGCTAATGCTTTAGCCGAGCGCGCTAACGTTATTCCTCCTAATAAACAGACACCCGTTCAGCTCTGTCTCCTCATTATTCACCATCACTGTAATACTGTATCTGATGAGTTTTATCAAACATTAACACATTAAGGCATTAAGAGGGGATGGTGGAGATCGTCTGTGCAGCGTCTGGGGTTTTTAAAACAAAATCAAAGCAGCGTTTTTTAATGTAGATAAATGTAACGTCATTATGCTGGTTATGGTGAACTGTGCTGAGACAGCTCAGAGGTTTATCTTAAAGTTAGGACAGAATTTAGGAAATTCTGTCTAGTTAGGATGTTTCTGTAATACTGTTTTCTTATCTGGAGATTTAAGATTACGAACTTAAGAACTGTTGTTCTGTAACAGCTTCTGTCCTAAATTCAGTCCTAGCTAAAGTTGTCATGGTGACTAAGCAGATAAGATTTCAGACTTAAGAAGTTTCTGTAATACGGCCCAGGACTATAAAAAAAAACTCCCCATTTAAATAGAAAGTGATGAGGATTTGGGAATGTAGATCAGGCCAAAGGGCATATTCAGCCTGCACAAACCCAAACCCCACTTCCATCGGCCTACTACTATTCACATTATTTCCTGACTCATCATTAAATGAAAGACTTTAATTAGCCAGCATGCTGTGCACTTGACCTTTACTTATAGTTACCATTCATTCTCCATTCACTGAGGCTTTACCTGTGGAGCCAGTTCCCCATTAGTGATGATCTTGGCGATCAGACTCCACTTTCTGTTGCTGGTGGCATTGTGGATCATCTTCTTCCTAAGCAGTTCACCCACGGAGACATACTCAAAGCCATAACGCTCAGCGATCTTCAAGCTTTGTGTGCCTTTACCACTGCCTGGTCCACCTGTTCGAGGAGGAGCAGTTAGAGAGATAGGACTGCATATGAACAAAACACCATATTAGCATATACACCGATCAGGAATAACATTATGACCACCTCCTTGTTTCTACGCTCTTTGTCCATTTTATCAGCTCCACTTACTATATAGGTGCACTTTGTAGTTCTACAGTTACAGACTGTAGTCCATCTGTTTCTCTGCATACTTTGTTAGCCCCCTTTTATCCTGTTCTTCAGTGGTCAGGACCCCATGGACCCTCATAGAGCAGGTACTATTTAGGTGGTGGATCATTCTCAGCACTGCAGTAACACTGATGTGGTGGTGGTGTGTTAGTGTGTGTTGTGCTGGTACAAGTGGATCAGACACAGCAGTGCTGCTGGAGTTTTTAAACACCTCAGTGTCACTGCTGGACTGAGAATAGTCCACCAACCAAAAATGTCCAGCCAACAGCGTCCTGTGGGCAGCGTCCTGTGACCACTGATGAAGGACTGGAGAATGACTAACACAAACTGTGCAGCAGCAGATGAGCTATCGTCTCTGACCTTACATCTACAAGGTGGACTGACATGGTAGGAGTGTCTAATAGAGTGGACAGTGAGTGGACACAGTGTTTAAAAATTCCAGCAGCACTGCTGTGTCTGATCCACTCGTACCAGCGCAACACACACTAACACACCACCACCACGTCAGTGTTACTGCAGTGCTGAGAATGATCCACCACCCAAATAGTACCTTCTCTGTGGGGGTCCTGTGGGGGTCCTGACCACTGAAGAACAGGATAAAAGGGGGCTAACAAAGTATGCAGAGAAACAGATGGACTACAGTCTGTAACTGTAGAACTACAAAGTGCACCTATATAATAAGTGGAGCTGATAAAATGGACAATGAGCGTAGAAACAAGGAGGTGGTCATAATGTTATGCCTGATCGGTGTATATTACAATTGCAATCTGTATTTCAGTGTAATAAAAACACATTGGAGAACCGTAGATGTGACTTTGTTAAAGGCTGATCTGCATTACGTTTACTGAAATATTTACTGTTTTTTCAGCACTTGTGTTTCCTGGTTCATGCAAATACACTGCCTCATAGAAAAGGCCAAAGAAACACTCATCTGGAGCTGTGATTGGTCAGGATGTTCATAGCACGCAGTAAAAACACTGTCATTGGCTAGAGAGATCATTTGCATGATACCAGCATTGCAAAATCCCATATTGTGACAACGATTAACAAACAATATATATTTCTCATCCCTATAAAGGAAGCAAAACATTTTCTGTCGCACTTAGACTTCCAATTTTGAAAGAATTTTAACAGTAACACTCAGACAACATATACCTGTATACACACATATATGCTAATTTCAATCAGCTGAGGTACTCAGAGCTGAGGACAATGAACTAGGTCATCTGTGCATATGTCTTAACTTAAACTTAAGGGTTATTAATCATACGACTTATTATGCAGTAGCCTTAAATAATTAATTACTATGAAACTAACATTTGCTCTGTAGTTATGAGCGTACGCGAGCAAGATCCCTGCAGATTAAGGGATTAATTGTATTATTAATTATATGTACAATATATGTTTGGTGTTTTTCAGTAACTCAAAGACTTTTTCAATAACTTTAATTAAGAATTTAGAGTGAATAATCTTTTCAACACTTTATATAGGATCTTTCATAACTCATAACTGTAGGAGATTTCAACTGTGGGACTAGATAAAAGAGAGACAGATGAATGAACTACTGTGTGTCTTATTTGCATATAGGCTGTGCAACACATACACATTTCCATTCCAAATGAAATCAGAACTTCATGTAGCTTGTCAATCAAGGAAACCAGATAGGACATGGCGGAAATATGAAACTATTTAATTCTGAACTATCTGCTTTCCATTCGCTCACATGGAAAGATTTCATCTGCTTTTCAAAACAGTTTTGATTAACATTTAAAAAGTGTTTGAATGGATATCACGCAAACTCTCATAATGCGCAGAGTTTACTAATTATCAAGTTTTGTCTTTCAGTTTATTTACTATTGGTAAAAGGAGACGTTAACATACAGGGTGATTCAAAAAGATTCATTCAATTTGAAAATTATTTATTTCACTTGTAAATCATTACAGAACAATGCAGTAAACTGTAAATGGTTTAAATGAGCATAAAGTTTATTATGTAATTTTACAAGTGCTCAGTATGAACCTCCTCCAGCTGTATGGACAACATCAACGCCATATTCAAACTCATCCCATACTGGATTGAGCGGGTGTCACTGTCACCACGTATTTAATTTATGTGGAAGGTATTTAGCTAGGTATCACCACACTTCATAGCTGTTGGTTATACACTTACCAATTATGAGGATGACTTTGGGCCGTGGCCGGGAGGGGTCGAAGACTTCGTACTCCTCAATCAGCTCGGCCGTTTCAGACAGGTCAGAGTCACTCTCAATAGAGAACTGATGGATGGGCGGCAGCCGGTCATACCTTCGATAAGGGAAATTGGGACTGTCCGGCAAAACTATGAGGAAGAAAACAACGAACATGTGAGAAAATCATGAAAGATTTCACTGCAAATCTTGCAGTCTCCTCAAACATTCGCCAGTGTAATGTAACTCTTTAATGTGTGGCCATTTCAACTATAGCTATATCTGACACAAACCGACATATATTCATACAACCCTGTTTCCAAAAAAGTTGGGACGCTTTGCAGAATGTAAATAAAAATAGGATGCAATGATGTGCAAATCATGTAAATCATATTTTTAAAGGAAAATACTACAAAGACAACATATCACATGTTGAAACTGAGAAATTTTATTGAATTTCATGTCAATTTTTTTAATTTTAAGCCAACAACACGTTCCAAAAAAGTTGGGACAGGGGCATGTTTACCACTGTGTTTCATCACCTCTTCCTTTAACAACACTCTGTAAGTGTTTGGGAACTGAGGAGACACTTGTGTAGTTTTGAAAGAGAAATGTTTTCCCGTTGTTGTTTGTTATAGGATTTCAACTGCTCAACAGTTCGGGGTCTCCTTTGTCGTATTTTTCATTTCATCATGCGCCAAATGTTTTCAGTGGTGACAGGTCTGGACTGCAGGCAGGGCAGTTTAGTACCCGGACACTTTCACTATGGAGCCATGCTGTTGTAATACATGCAGAATGTGGTTTGGTATTGTCTTGCTGAAATAATCAAGGCCTTCCCTGAAAAAGACATCGTCCGGATGGCAGCAAATGTTGCCAAAACATGTATATATTGTTCAGCATTAATGGTGCCTTCACCGATGAGCACGTCACCCATACCATGTGCACTAAGGCCCCCATACCATCATGAATACTGACTTTTGAACTGTGCACTGATAAAAAGCTGAGTGGTCTTTAGCCCGGAGGACACAGTGTCCATGATTTCCAAAAAGAATTTCAAATGTTGATTTGTTGGGCCACAAGACACTTTTCCACTTTCCCTCAGTCCATTTTAAATGAGCTCGGGCCCAGAGAAGGTGGCAGTGTTTCTGGACCCTGTTTATATATGGTTTCTTCTTTGCGTTTTTGAATTTTAACTTGCATTTGTGGACGCAGCGCTGAACTGTGGTTTTCAGAAGTGTCAGATGGCATTTAGAGGCACGCACAAATTGCTACACTTCAATCAAAGACTACAGAGAAACACAAATCTTGTCTTTTGAATAATATGTCATACAGATCGTGTTTAATGTTACCACTGACATGAACTAACAAGGTAAAAAAGTCAGTTTTGATTTCAAGCTGACTTCAAGAATGTTTGAAATTCTTGCTGATGAGTCTTGCAGCATGAGTACCTCTCTGACAAACAGTAAGAACAGTGATGAGCAACAGCCAATGAGCGTGCTAGAGAAACGCTTGGGGAGTGAGGTGGGAACAGTTACAACAAAAACAATCATGGCGAAGCGTTTATTAAAGAAAAGTGCTGCAAATATTTACTGAGAGGCTGCTCAGCTGCTCACCGCCCCACGCTTAGGGGTAGAAGCAGTCTCTGGATCAATATTTGCAGAACCTTTCTCTTATATTCTGGAGAAAGCACTCATGTTCTGTGAGGAAGAAAATGAAGGGGAAGCTAGTAAAGCACAACATGAATGCCAGCTGAATGTGAAGAGATTTTCTTTCTTTCTTGTTCCTGCACAAACAGCAACTACAGAAAGTTGCTCAGGCTCTAATTTGGCAGGTGATATCCTAGTACTGGGCGACATGACCTCAAATCAATATCACGATTAATTGAACGTTTTACCTCAATTACGATTAATAAACAATATTTTTTGTTTTTTTGTTTTTTGCCCTGATAGTTCACAGAAAAGGTCTGTACTGTAAATATGCTCTGCATATCTTAATGTAAATCGTCTCAACAGCCAGATCAGAATTCATGCAACTTTTACGTCAATCCAACTCAACATTCGTCATAATTTCGCACTGCAGAGACCTAATAAACATTTGGGGTGATATTTCTGTACAAAAATTAGAAGAGACTCATCCAAAACACCTCCGTGTTTCAAGAGATTTCGAAAGAAACGGCCAAGGAGAAGAACGCTGCAGCATCAAAGAACAGTTATAAGTTTGAAAGCAAAGTTAAAAGAATCCGAGGATGCAAACCAAAGAAGTGACCGCGCCCTTTTTACGGCTCGAACACATTCTGGGTGATGAGCCCAGCTGTCAGTCAGTGAAGCTTCATGATGGCTCCTGTGATGCTGGCGAAGATGAAACTGAACCCTCCGGGAGCGACTGGTGTTCGTTCATAGTCATGATCGTTTACGTCTGGATGAGCCACGTGAAGCAGCTTGACACATTGTTGTTTTGCGCATGCGGGTCAGTTTAGGAGCTGATCTGTTCAGACTGATGTCGCCTATAGGTCACATTTAAAAGATTTTGTGAACAGCCAAACAGAAAAATCAGATTTGGTTAGAAAATCACATTTGGGCCACTTTTACCTGCTTTGTGAACATAGCTTTAGCTTCCATGTCGCAGAGTGGACGTGGCGGAGTCACGTGACTACACACGCAGTAGTAAGTTTTTAAGGGGACAGTACATGAACACACAGATTGGGGAAAGGATTAACAGAATTTTTAAAAAATCGAAATAACCGACATGGGCAAGATTACGTCGGTTAGAGATTCTGAATATCGGTTTCGGTTACTTCTCGATTAATCGCCCAGCCCTATGATTTCCAGTTCTTGTGCTTATTTTTGTCAGACAGCAGGATTTGGGGATCGGGTGCTATTTGTTCCAAATCCCTTCATGTGAAAATGTAGTGTGGTATGCGAGCCTCGTCTGCACCCAATTGTGGTGCACACATCACCATGAAGGACTGTTATGATAATTACATGATTGGTGGACTGTAATTTTTTGACCTGACCACAATTTTGCATAGCTGTTAGCTTTTAAATCATATGCTCACATTGCAACAAACAGAATGTGAGTTGGGTGCATTTGATCAGTTGGGTTGAGGTAAATGCAAATAAATAAAAGAAAGCAGAAAGTTCGAACTTCTGATGCTATAAAACCTTTAGAGGGCAGCAGTGAGTAATGTTTGTTTAGTTGAGCTAAAGCTGTTTCTGTTGTCATTTGGGAGCTACAAAGAATCAACACCTAGGTAGTTTCTGTCACCAAAGCCAATTAGGCCCCTTTAGGCTTGTACTTTAATAGTTGCATGCAAATAACAAAATAAGACAATTAAATTGTTAATCATCTATTTTTGATTATTAATTAATCAATTAACCGTCACCTCAAATTTGATGACTGTGACTGGTCCTCTACCACACTGACAAAAAACTGATTGCAATCGACAAAAGTTCTGTAGTGTGAGCAGTTCACTACGCAATTTTATACCTTTTTACTCAAAATCAATTAGAACAACATCATTTTACAATTTTAGCATTTTGTTATTGGTATATTGTTAAAAATGAAAAGATAAAGGAATACAAAGGAGACGGGGCCCAACTGAGAAAATGGATGAGATGGGGAGGCAATCAATTCATGGGTCATTTGTTATGAATTTAAAAGGAAACGCCACCAATTTTGTCAATTTCTGCATAATTCATAAGTTGCTATGTAAACAAAGCCTTTTAGAGTGGTTTGATGTGAAATGGTTCACTGTAAAGATATTTACAAACTCAGATTTCTTTACAGTGGTGATAAAAAAACAGGGATTGCGACGTCTGCAATGCAAATATAGCCATTTTATTTACTAAACAAAATGACAAGTGAACCCACACGTGTCCCCTTTTCTGTATGTTACGTTGGCGATTGTAAAATAGTCATAAAATGCGAAAAAATATATTTTCTTTCGGGACTATTTTTCCACACAACACTCTGCATGTACCTCTCCATCATAAATGTATTAAAAAACAATTCGGAAAACAATGCCTAAGAAATCAGGCAGCATATTCATAATCATCTCATGTAGCAGCTTTCTGTGAGGGAGGTTTTAGAGACATAAAAATTTTCAAATGTCTGGTTCCTACCACAATTGTGAACAATTCTGACCCGGTTATTTTCTGTATAGCAGAACATTTCACATCAAACCATTCTCAATTACTGTATTTATAAGTTAATAATTTAATTATACAGAAATATATATAAAGATCAGAGGAATTCCCTGTTAAGGGTTAACTCCTTAAATGGCCAGCGCCCACCAGCAGGCCCAAAGTTTTATTACATACCTCAATAACCTAAGCATAGCTCGGCCAGTTTGAATTGACGTCCTTGTAGTTACTGAATAATAAGCCTTAAAAGTAATAAGCCTGGGATTTTAAGGGGTTAACCAGTTAATTGTGGTAGGTACATAGTAGTAGAGACAGTGTAATTACACGTGGCCCAACAAAGGCCAGTAAATGTTGCGTTGTGGACTGTCTGGGGGCTTATAACACAATTAACTCAGTGTCTGGCAGTCCAGAGTGTGGATAACATATTTGTTTTGCAAAGCAAACTCAACGGGTAGGGATGCTTGGCATTCATATTCCTATCTGCATAGCCTACGGCAAAGTACATTTATGACTGCAAGAAGTGTACAGACCTATTTGCAGATGACACACAGATGACCTCCACTCATAAGTCATACAATTGGAGTAATGTATTGAATTATCAGTGTAGCTTTCAGAATGGACCATTATTGCCAAATGCAAATAACCAACAAACTAACTACAGATCCATAAATGGTTTTATGAATTTAATTTAATGTTGCCATGTTTCTCGTCAATCAAATCAGCATTTATGGGCTTTGTGACTTTCGCATAAGATAGAATTTCACTTAAAATTGACATATTTTCTTCTGTAAGTCAAAAAAACCCCTCTCACTTTTTTGAATGTAGTTTGCATATTGTCTACTGCTGGCGTACATTTGTAACCGACAAACATGTCACTCGCCTACTTCCTTCTGTACCTACCGTTTCGGAAGAAAGACCGTCGTGATTGGCCACCATTAAGCGGTGGCAGGGATTTCTTCTCCTGCCCCACAAAGGTGTCCCACCGAACCTTCTCGGTCCCTCCCAGCTCCCTGACCTTCTTCAAACAGCACTCCAGATAGTCTATAGGGTCGTCTGGACGGTAGTACATCAAACCTGTCAGCAAACTCTGGAAGGACAGAATGTGAAACAGGCATTGCTTTAGTGGACATCTGCACCAGTGTTTTGGGCGATATATATATATATGTATATATACATATATATATCTGCATACCAGTACTGGTGTCACACAAAAATAGTTAAAAACAGTTATTGACAGATTATGGAACCTAATAAACCAAACAATTTGTTGGGTGTTTCAGCTTGTGGAGATACTGAACAGCTCAAAATGCATAAAAACTAAATAAATTGGTGGTGTTATTTCTGTAAATGTGGTTTATAGATATGGTTACTGTTTACAATTCTGTGTAATGTTGCCTTTGGAGTCATTTTAAGAGAAGAAAACAGAACAAAACAGTCCAACACAAACTATGATTCCAATCAAAACAAGCCAGAACCAGTACAGAAAATGAAATATCTGATACCATCATGTATTTGGAAAATACCACCCAGCACTATTCCTCATTTTTTCCTCTATCCTAGTTCCCAACATGCCTGAACCAAGCAATCATATACAGTGAAGAGCTGGTACAGATGCCTTGGAAAGCTAGAATAGAGCAAAAATATGTAAACCGTCTGGGGGTCCTCGAAGACTGTGGTGGGAATCTCCACACTAAAAACACTGCAAGCAAGAGGAGGCTCTAATACAGCTTCTCAGAACATTTGCATATGTGATCAATGACCACAGCACGGTGGGCCACATCTCCCAAATATCTTCTCTGCTTTTTCTCCATTCCCGTCATTGCGTGATACAAACAGTCCACTTTCCTAGACACTCTTTTCCTTCTCCTTTACATATGAATGCCTTCACTGGTTGGTTCTTCAATGCTTAAAAGGTTCCCTGCATGGTGATATGGTTCTTCAGATTGATGGAGAATGTGTTTTGGAAATGGTTTGACTTCATAACAAAAGAAGAACCCTTTTTGGTTCTGTATAGAGACTTTTTCAAAAATACATAACACATTGTCCATCAATCGAACCAGTAAACTCATTCACGGTACATGCAGAGCACTATAAGGCCAAACAGTCCCAAGGAAAACTTATTTTTGTCAGATTTACCCCTATTTTACCATCATCCTCATTACACATAAAAACTCAGAAGACACATATAGGTTCACTGATGGTTTTGGATAGTAAATAAAATGTCTGTATCTGCTTATCTGCTTTAGACATTGCTCTTCTGGCTCCTATCAGAAAATCAGAGTTGGTAAGTTTCTCTATAGTGAGCCATTTCACATCAAACCACTCTGAATGACTCTGCGCACATCTGAGTGACTGAACTATGCAGAAATTTTGAAAAATCGGTGGAGCTCCCCTTTAGGCGTCCGTTTACCTCTATTCATGTTATGAAATTCAGCTCTAATTTAAAGTGTTTTGCGATGTAAATAACTTGTGCCCTCGATTGTATGCCAGCTTCAATCATTTTATCGACATAAAACACCGAAAAAGGTGAAATCTCCATCATTTTCCTCTAATTTTTCCACAGAATAATAGTTGCCGTTAACTGAAATTACAGACCAGAGCGGTTAGCAGAATTAGCACGCGCGTGAGAAAGTTCGTTATTTTTCTATATGTTAGTATAAGGGCGTTGACTTGTGTTGAGGTATTTGCTGCCAAAATATCATTACGGTTCACAAGGACCCGCAAAAAACTCCTCTCACCTCAAACAGCTGTGGTATTTCTCTTCGGGAGAGGTATTCCTTGGCGTCGTTGGTGTTCATGGTTGTCTTGAGGAGGCGAAAAGTAAAAGTGCAAGACCGCTGAAATGACCGTTTGGACGGAGAAAGCTGCCTCGGTCGGCGGCTTCTGTGGCGACAACGACCGACGTTAGTTTGGTTGGAAAACGAGAAAGAGGCGATTTAGTTGCAGTCCTGACGCATTCTCTGACTATAAAACTATCTGCAGTCAAAATAAAAGGTGTAATTCTCTCAGAGAAAGCCGTTATGTGACATGCTGCTTTCCCTCCGGCACCTCCACTCAGCCTCAATTTGACAACCGTCAACAGCGCTGTTTTCTTTTCCCACCCACACTCGGGCAAATCCCACCAACCACGCTGTGATTGGGTACACTCGCGCCTTCTGCGTTGTGATTGGCTGGTGGTTCATGCAAACGAAAAGTCAACGGTTCGGCGGGATGCGCTTGACCAATCGCAGCGCGGGAGGCGGGGTTTTGTCGGAATACGGGCGGGGAATGGAAATAACGCCAGCTGTCAAAGAAGCCTGAGTACAAGTGACAGGTAGGTGGTGTTAGTTATGTGGACCCAGCCTCTCATTTGGTGGGCAGAGAAACAGAGATTAAAGGAGAACTTCACCGATTTTTCAAAAAAATTCTACATAATTAAATGGTTGAGATGTAAACAAAGTGATTCGGAGGGGTTTGGTGTGAAATGCTCCATTCTGGAGAAACTTGCAGAGCCAGAATTGTTCACAATGGCGGTGATAGGAACCAGACGAGTTTAACGCCCCTTAAAGCTCCCTCATAGAAAGTTATTACATGAAGTGGTTATGAATACTCAGCCTGATGATTGAGACATTGTTTTAGGACAGTTTTGTGACAAAATTTTGGCTCAAAAATATATTTTAATCCATTTATTTTAATCCATTCAATAGTCCACAAAAATAGTCCTATTTTACCATCATCAGCATTACATATTAAAAACTCAGAAGACGTGTAGGTTCACTCGTGGTTTTGGACAGTAAATAAAATGGCTATATTTGTGTTGTAGACATGGTGACGTCTGGTTCCTATCACCACCACTGTAAAGACATCTGATTCTGTAAGTTTCCCTACAGTACCATTTCACACCAAACCACTCTGAATGACTCTGTTTACATTTCAAGGACTGAATTATTCTGATATTGTGGGGAAAAAAGGTGGAATTCCCCTTTAAATATTTCATTTTGTTTTTTACCTTAAAGCTGTTTTATTTTTTTCAAGTGCTTATACATCAGATTCCCAGCCAATTGTCAAATGTCTGCAAATGTCATCAATCCGCTGTTATTTTCTTCACAAAAAGCCAAATGATGTCTCAGCAGGTCATTTTTATTCACATCCACATCTGGTGGGTGTAACCTGTAGCCTCATCTCCTCCATTATCAGCTCTAAAAGTCTGATGCAAATGCTGATTAATGAATACTGGATATTTATCATGTTGAGTAGAAGGTATTCAAAACATATCTGTGAGCTGACATATTAAACATGGTCTTTCAGGCCTTATCAAGTTTTATAGACCCGACCATTTCCTGCTGACACCAGTATCCATGAATAATATGTTGAATAATATGGTATAGTATCAGCCTAAAGACTATTTGCCTAAGATTGGCTGTATTTTGTAGAAGTGGGATGGATTGTAGTTCAAAAAAGAAGCATGTAGGCTACAGACAAAGTTCAGCTTATGAGTTTACATCAGCATTGGATCCTTTGAGTTTTGCGCATATGGTACCTAAGCAGCAAACTCTGTAGGCCTCATGCAATATGACAGGCACTCAGTGTGTCGGAAACACTTATTAAGCAATAAAATAGTCTATTTTCATACTTTACTTACATCTATGATGTTTCTCCTTCTCTGTTTCAAAATTTTGACATAGCATCTCAAACCAATTACTTATTTTCTCAAAATTTTGACTTAGTACCTTGTATTAATGACTTAAAATATTAATGACTCAAAATTATAATTTCAGAAAATTCTGATGTCCAATGTTGAAATAGTGACTTGTTTTCTAAACATGTTTACTTCATGTCAGTGAAATAATTACTCAATTTCTATAAAATTAATAATTTCTAAAAAATTAAAAACTCATTATTTTATTTTTTATAGGCTTAAAGTCTAGATACTTAATAAATGTTTTAAGTTTTTAAGTATTTTTGCTTAAGTATTCATACTTAAAAAATAAAAATATATTATTTTTATATAAATTATATTTAGGGACACTGGAAGTGCAGAACGTTTAGGTGACACTGGATTACTGTGCTAAAATGTCTGCATTTTATTGATTTCACTGCATGTGTAACAATACAGATAACTGTAACACAGCTTTTTAAATCAATTTTATTTTTTTATGTCGGCATCGGTAGATATGTGAAAAATATTGGATATTGGCATCACTGTATCGAAAAGAAAGATAAAGATAAGTTGTTATTTTAAAAGTCAATATTTTGACATACTGCTGCTACTGGCAAAATATGTTTCAGCAATTTTGCTCATACTTACACGAGAACTGTCAGTTTTATTGAGCACATCTGCATGATGCATTGATACATATAATGTAAGAACCTATGCATTTTAGGTGGTCTGATGATTCTATCCCATAAGCGAAGTATTACAGCCACATAACCATTAGGAATAGTAGTGTACTCAGCCCCAATTGAATTATGGGACTTAACTACATCTATTCTCACACTGAAGGTTTTGAGAGAACGTTTATATTTTTATTATGACAGAATTTTGTCTAATTTTTGAGGAACTCTGTAGCAACCAGCCTAATCTTTTTGGACTATTATTTTGGCACACTCTTTAAAACTAGAGCATGGGACTTTACAATGCAGCCATTGAAATAATCTCCCAGCTGTGCCCTATTAAACGCAGAACCTTTATTTTGAAACCGGGGCTTTTATGCTGAAGGAGCGACTTCGCTTACCCGGCGTAATAGGCGACTGCTGTCAGATGAAATCTCACCATGGCAAACTTCATATCTCTGCCAATATTTGCTGTTATAAACTTGCTCTTTTTGCTGCCGGTGGTGCACAGCAACAGCTTTGAGGTGAGTCTGTCTTTTAGCGCTGTCATGACGGTTAACATGGGTTTCTTTTTTGAAAAAGATCGGAAAGAAGCAGCGGAGCTAACGACATAGCAGCTACAGCAGCTACAGCAGCTCAGCAGCTACTCTATCGAGACTCGTATTGAAAATGTATTGATTCAGTTTTTAGATGCTGAAAAGTGAGAAATATCAACGCTCAGTAACCTAAATGTGCAGCGTTAATGATGCTGGATAGCGTAGTTCAGTTTACATGAATAATATGCTAAGTTTCATTCATTGTTTGGTTAAAATTGGTGCTGTATTATTCAAAAATTAAACTGAACCGCAAGAGATTCTGCTTTAGTGAACCTAAATATGTGGTGGGTTATGTATTAATGCTACTGTGAATACATGACTTCCTTTCTTAAGTTTCAAATCCACAGTTTTCTGTGTTTGTCTGAAATAGAGACCCATCAGAGGAACCAGAGGGGGATGTTTTCTTCCTCTTCTTTTCCTTAACCTCGCCCTTTTTCTGTTTATTGGTCATTCTCCTGATTTAAACCTTTTTTATCTTTTACCCCATCCCTCTTTCTCCTATCATTGGGCCTCATTCACCAATATCTTCCCATGTTTTTCTTAAATGTGTTCTTGAGAAAGATCCTAAGAAAAAAGTCTACTTCAGGTTCTTGATGTGTTCTTAAGCCGCAGAACTGTTCGCACCTTTGTGCTCTTGAGTGTTTGTGGACTCTGTTTTTACCTAAGAACAAATCCCAGATAAGAAAACATTGGTGAATGTCAGAGTCTTTGACAACTGCATAAGTGGGTTTTAAGAAGATTTTTCGTCATAAGAACGGTTGGTGAATGCAGGCTGTTGTCCTTACATTTTTAGCCCAGGGTCTTTCTGCTGTAGATGATATTTAAAGGCCCATATTCTACATTTTTCTTGTATTTTCTTGTACTTTTTTCCCCCTGAGGTCCACTTATAACATCTGTGTTTGATGTTCATTTCATTTTTGAAAGAATTAAATAGGTTTTTAGTTAGCGTGAGGGATGTAAATGACCTCTGTTTTGATTGGCTGCCTTGTATTGTGCCTCATTCAAACAGCAGTCTGAGCTGAAACACTCTTTCACACTTCAGTGTGAGTGGGAGGAGCTAAACTGCTGTTTGTTGACTATGTGTTGGTTTATGTGACATGAGGTCATTGGGCCTCATTTACTAACCTTTCTTAAGAACAAATTTCTTCTTAAAACCCACTTATGCAGTTTTCACTAAGATTCTGATGTTCACCAGTGTTTTCTTATTTGGGATTTGTTCTTGGGTAAGAACAGAATCTACACACACTGAAGAGCACAAAGGTGGGAACAGTTCTGCAATTTCAAAACACATCATGAATCTGACAAACGTTTTCTTAGGATCTTTCTCAAAAACAGATTTAAGAAAAAACTAAAAGATATTGGTAAATGAGGCCCAATGAATTCAAAATGCTTAGTTTTCATGTATAGGCTGGGGGGTCAATAGTATGTTTTGAAACTTTAATAATGTAAGTTCTTAGAAGTTCTGAAGTAGTTCTTAGTCTTGCAGTATTGTCTCCAGATGTGGATGTCAGTGGCGTTTGTTGGACCACGTCTTTACTTATTAGTGTCACCCACACAGGCTCAGAAAGAAGGTCCAGCTTGATGTTTATGTCTTAAATGCAAAACCAGCATTACGCTGATTCACTCAGAGGACTTGTCCTTCTTCAAGTTTTGACTCAGATCAGAGTCATCTACTCAGGGAAGGGGACCGAAGCACAAGCCACGTTACAAAATGTTCTTCTGCTCGTTGCATGCAATTACACCTTTCCACCAGAGGGGGCTTACATAGCTGAAAAACTTACATAGCTGCATTCAAATCGTTCCCTGTTAAGGCCTCAGCATACTTCTTGCGAAACAAAATTCTGAAGGGTGGTGCAAAGGCATTTTCGGCTTCAAAGCTTGCATACTTTCTGCAGTTTCGTTTGCCTGTCGCGGATGCTCCACGTGACGCTATGTCATTTTATGATGTTTCATGACTACTGGAACATGATTCTTTCACTGTTCTAACTATGGCGACGTTTGAGTTCAGAATACTGACACCATTTAAGGTGGAATGGGAAAATTTGAACAAGAAGCTGGTAAATAGAAAGCCAACTTCAGCCTCGTCCTCTTGTGAACCTAAATATAAGGTAACCTATATGTTTTGGTGCTTTGTGCTAGATAGTACTACCAAATAATAGACTTAACACCTTACATTTAGGAGATATTCATTGTTTATTTAACAAATTCGCGTTTCACAGTGAAATATTATTGTATCTGCCAAAGCTGAAGCTCCTCAAAGTTGTCCATCTTTGTTTAATGGCACGCCTCTTTTTTACAGACCAATCAGAGGCTACGTCGCGTAGCGTCTTCGTCCACGGAGTTCGCCTAGCTACCATGTGCGCGACACGGTAAACGAAGCCTCCACACGACGTCTGCTGTTGTTCTTTTTCGCCACAATTACATCGTATTGTTCGCTGAGGCCAGGCGAACATTGTCACCGCAAGAAGTATGCTGAGGCATTGAGGCAAATGGTGCACAGTGTAGGATTGTAGCGTGTTGTTTGAATTCTTTAATGAGAACTTATTTTTTCTTCTGTATTGTGATGTGTTTCTGAGATAAACAGTATCAGGGAGGGTATTTGAGCTTGCAGAGCATTTTCTCTTGATGATAGGTAATCAAAGTATGGTGACTTTCCCATCTCTGCAATATCTTCTAAGTTTTGATTACATCACTGTGCACCAGTGGGCAGGGGACAGTAATATTAACCAATAATGTCCTGTTTCACCTCCCTCTCCCTCCACCCCACTTATCATGGAGAGAAAAAGCTCAGAGACCCTCTCTGACACTGTAATTCACTTACAAATATGTCAGGATATGGAAAATGTGTTAGAATTTCAGATTCACGTGGCTGGTTTAAAAGAAAAACTCATTCATTAAACTCTTAATAGTTAAAATCTCTGAAGTGCTTTTCATTTTTATAAGCATTAGTCATACCTGCACCTACTGACCGTAACCTGTTGCTTGTTTTTTTAGACAAAAGCCACTCAGTTCTTCAGCAGCGGTCACACCAACAACTGGGCAGTTCTGGTAAGCCTAACTTTGTCCAGCTTGTCCTGAATGCTTGTCTTATCAACATATGAAATATGGTGATCATTTCCTAACTGTGTTGTGACGCTGAGTGGTGAGACTTTGTAATGATTTTTTTTAAATGTGCAGGTTTGCACGTCTAGGTTCTGGTTTAACTATCGCCATGTTGCCAACGTCCTGTCTGTGTACAGGAGTGTGAAGAGGCTGGGCATTCCAGACAGGTAAGTTTCAACATGAAAACAGCAATGTTGTGTTAAAAGGACAGATGAAAACCATAAACCAACAAATAAACAATTGTTTGACCAATGGTATTGTTTTTTTAGAAAAAGACATTAATTTCATTTCATTTCCAGAAAACAACAGTTTAAATTTGAATATGCGAGTTTATAATTCAATTTGTGGAATGTTTTTAAGTTGCACACATGGGGGCGCTAGACAGGCCTAATAAAAAATGAAGCACATAGATAAAAAAGTGGTTGTTTGGGAACAGTTTTTGTTGAAGCCATTGCAAATGATAACAAAGGCAACTCTCTCTTGAAGTACACTGAGTCAAAGCCCCATCAAGGCATTTATGTTCTCTTTAACTAGGCTAGTAGTGAGTGAGAAATAGAACCTTAGAACTTTAGAATGGAGAACTTTCAGTGTCTTCCATTTATTCCAGTCATTTCATCAATTTTTTTATTTTTTGGTAATAAAATCACACGTAATTCATTTTCAAACATGTCGTAGTCAGCCCCGCAGTTCTTATGTAGAGGATGTTTAATACAGTTTCAGGCTGCTTACTTCATACACACAGTGTTGCCTGGTTCCAACCACCAGTACCTCTTACCATAGTCTGTACAAGGAGCACTTTTTAATATCTCGCTGTAATAATACTGATTTCAGTTGATGTGAGCTCTCATAACAAAGGTAGACATATTAAAGCAATAAGGCACAAGAGGCCGTGTATTATTGCGATTGTATCACGGGGAAAGGTGTTCTTAGGCACGATGCAAAGCAGAGTAAAACTCCCTAAAATCACAGTAATGCACAGCCTCAAGTGGCTTATTGCTTTTATAAAACAGCAGCCAACATGAAATATGATAAGAAAATAATTTAAGCTATTATTATTAATAATATTAACATAAACAAGTATTCCTCCAAGAAATGTAGTTCCTTTAGAGTATGGTATCGTTGCTAAGCAACCATGGGCTGTTGAATGGGGAGAACATTTGGTCACCCATCGCTGCATACTGCAGTCATTTCATGAACGTTTTAATTTTTTGTCAGATAACAATGAACATATGATAACACAGCACTTTTTAATACAAAACTTTTTGGTCAAATTACCACCGAGTCTTACTTAGCACCAATCCAGCGCCGCTCCTCTTCTCACGCTGGGGCTGAATCTCAAATGTCTCCATGCTCCCTACGTAGTGCACTTCATAGGAGTTTAAATACTGGATCCTGCTGCTGACCAGTGCAAAATACAGCTGAGAAATAGTTATTTGGGACTCAGACACATCCACACTCGATAAATGATGCCCTGTTTGGCTGTAGAGGCTAGAATTTCTAAACTTCCAGAGCTAGCACACTATTTAGGGAATACAGAGCCGTTTGGGATTCAGCCTGGGTTTGATGCAACTTCTGACTGAAACACGGAAATTTGAAGCATGTAAGACGTTCAAGTGACATTTTTCGACTTTTATACTGCCGTTTCACTGTTAATCTGTTTACTGTAAGTGCTTTAATTCAAGCCTGTGATGTTAATGTTGGAGTTGTTTAGGCTGTTGGCTCTTTTAGCCTGTTAGTGAGCTGACCAGCCTGGTTCTAGTTAAGAACATAAGTTGTCAGCCCCTCAGTTTAAACAAAAAACGGGTTCTTACTTCATCAGTACACTCTGTGGTCCATGGGAGCAGCATTAGAGTCAAAGATTATTTCATTAACAGCACAAGAATATTTTGTGGCGCAGCAATACAGACATCAGGTGTTGTGAGGCGGTCATAGCTGTGGGTATATTGTGTAGAACTCGGCTCTGTCAGATTTTAGGACCGGAACTATCCATTTTATAACAAGCAGTGCACAAAGCTTTGAGCATGGATCATGGCAATAAAGTGTCAGAACTAGAAGTGCCTGTTTCACGTTAGATATTTTGATGGGTTGTGTTCGTGATTTTAGGCTTGCTGTTATCAGTTAATCACAGACTAATGATTGATTAATTTGCCAAAATGTGCTCTAGTTGAAAGAGTGTTTCTTATCTATTGTGAACTGAGTGCTTTTAAAGGACAGCGCTGACGTCTTGGCAAACAGTCCGTCTGTCACTTCCTCGTGTGAATGACACAGACATTGTGAAATCTGTGACGAATGTGTGAGTGAACATCATCTACGGTGTCTAAACTGAGAAATCTAACATGAGAAATAGTTTATCCTTTTAATGAAACTCAACATGATCTAATATGAAAAGAGAAGTTGAAGAAACTGTGTAAAGTGTGGATTTCACACTTCAGTCAAGACCACGTTTGTGTTTGTAAGTAGAAGAGGAGATAATTTATGATGTGAATTTGATGAAAAGTTATTGGTTTTTTTTTTTTTTCGGCCCTCTTTCATGCCCCTTTATGTTTTTACCACTTTTTGTAATTTTTCACATAGAAACAAACAGAAAAAGAGTTAGAAGTGCAGAAGCCGTCAGTATGGAATGTAAATCAAATCACTACCATTCAAAAATTTGGAACCACTAGTGAATCACATCAACTGTGTTTGTTTTATTCAGCAATAATTTATGCAATGTGTGGATTGAAATGCTTTAAGCTGGACTACAGAAGGTCTTTCTAAATGTTTTATTCAAAATTTTGTTATATTATTATTTATTTATTTATTGGAAACACGGTTTCTGCCTCCAGATTCGATCACTATTTTTGGGTATTTTTGGATATTGATTATCAGAATGTTTTTTCTGAATGTTAATGTAATTAACACTTCATTCTAGATATTAAAGTTATTATAGCTTCTTTCTGGATTTTAATTTTATTAGAACTTCATTCTGGATTTTAATTTTATTAGAATTTTATTCTGGATATTAATTTATTAGAACATCATCCTGGATATTATTGTTTTTTTTTTTTTAGAACTTCAGTCTTGATGCTACTTTTTTTTTAGAACTTCATTCTGGATATTATTTTTATTAAAACTTCATTCTGGATATTAATTTTATTAGAACTACATTCTGGATTTTAATTTTATTAAAACTTCATTCTGGATGTTAATTTTATTAGAACTTCATTCTAGATATTAACTTTATTAGAAATTTATTCAGGATATTAACTTTATTAGAACTTCATTCTGGCTGTTAATTTTATTTGAACTTCATTGTGATAAGTACATTTATTCAAACTTCATTGTGATTAATAACTTTACTACTTCATTATTGATCTTAATTGTATTAGAATTTTATTCCAGATATTAATTTTATTAGACTTTTGTTCTGAATGTAAAATTTATTAGAACTTAATTCTGAACATTAATGTTAAAATTTTATTATGAATGTTAATATGAGTGTTCATAAGAGTGTCAGCTTTGTCATTTCAGAATCATCTTCAGCTCATCATCCTGAACACATCTAACGCTTTATTATTTATTTATTTATTTATTTATTTACTTCTTACTAATTAGTGTGAAGTTGTGGAATATCAGCATCATATTATAATCATTTTTCCATTTGTCTGCAACAAACCTGGGTTTATACTGTATTATTTAAATCTCCAACCTTATATCAAAATTTCAAACTGTTAAACAGTGATTCCAAACCTTTGAATGCTATTGTAATTGTAAATTCGTTATATAACTCTGTAATTAATTACGCAATTATCCTTAAATAATGATGCAGTGTGAATGGAAAGTATAGCAAAATAATGACAATAACAGCAAGAATAGACTTCTAAGGGTTAAGAAAGGCCACCTAGTAGCTAATAACTTCCATTAGTTGTCAGATAGAAGTTGCTCTTCAGGTCGTTGTAGGACTGTGCAGTCTGCTCCTGAATCTTAATCTTAACCATTATTCAGCAATGACAGAAATTGATTTAGATCAGCCTGTAGAAGCTGAGTAGTTGAGTGCATATTGATGACTCTTCTTTGAGAGATTTATGCTTCTTTTTATGAGCTCTGATTTGTAATGAAGGTTCGACTCCCTCGGCTGCTGTTACAAATGACTGGGGAGAAATTCTGCTTCGCTGGATTTCTCACTGAAAGGCCCATTCACTCCAGACGCAGTTTAATACAAGCGTATCCACCGCCTGTCAGACCAGTGAAACATGAGGTTATTTGGCGAAAATTTTGTAGGGCCATTAATAGGGGGCAGGACGATATATCCTGAATGGCTGCTGCCTGTTTTTGTATTTAATGTGAGTTTTACACCAGTATAATTGCGTAATTGTCCTGTCACAGTTATTGCATAATCACTTCCAAAATCATAAAACACACACAATGTGAATTGAGTGTTTACCTCATTTGGGTTGAGACAAAAATATGTAGATAAAAGAAAGCAGAAACACGTTTATCGAGCCACATCACAGGTCTTTTAAAAATAAAGTTCTACTGCTGACTAGAGCTCTAAAACCTATAGAGGGCGGCGGCGATTTCTTCATTGATCATGTGTTAATAACTCCTTTAGAGGGCAGCGGTGAGTAACGTTTGTTTATTTGATGTTTGTTAATGACGCCTTTTGAGGGTGGCGGTGAGTAATGTTTGTTTACTTGAGTAATGTTTGTTTATTTTACGTGTTAACACCTTTTAGAGGGCGGCGGTGAGTAATGTTTGTTTATTTGAGTAGCGTTTGTTTATTTGATGTTTAATAATGCCTTTAGAGGGTGGCGGTGAGTAACGTTTGTGTACTTGAGTAGCGTTTGTTTATTTGATGTTTAATAATGCCTTTAGAGGGCAGTGCTGAGTAATGTTTGTTTACTTGAGTAATGTTTGTTTATTTTACGTGTTAATAACACCTTTAGAGGGCGGCGGTGAGTAATGTTTGTTTATTTGAGTAGCGTTTGTTTATTTGATGTTTAATAATGCCTTTAGAGGGTGGCGGTGAGTAACGTTTGTGTACTTGAGTAGCGTTTGTTTATTTGATGTTTAATAATGCCTTTAGAGGGCAGTGCTGAGTAATGTTTGTTTACTTGAGTAATGTTTGTTTATTTTACGTGTTAATAACACCTTTAGAGGGCGGCGGTGAGTAATGTTTGTTTATTTGAGTAGCGTTTGTTTATTTGATGTTTAATAATGCCTTTAGAGGGCAGTGGTGAGTAATGTTTGTTTATTTTACGTGTTAATAACACCTTCAGAGGGCGGCGGTGTGCAATGTTTGTTTATTTGAGTAGCGTTTGTTTATTTGATGTTTAATAACGCCTTTTAGAGGGTGGCGGTGAGTAATGTTTGTTTGTTTGTTTGTTTGTTTGTTTGTTTGTTTGTTTGTTTGACGTCAGTTGTGAGTTATTACATATTGACAGCTAGAAAGCAAGATCAAGCAGTTTGGCTACTTTAGACTTGTACTTAAGTGACCAAAAAAAAAACACATTACAAAACTACTACATTTGTTACTGATTCTTTGTTCACAGTTTGTTTTAATGTATAGATAGTATATTACATTGTACAACAAATGGATGATCTTGAACTTATTTGTACAGTTGTGTGCAGAAGTTTGAAAACCCCTGGTCAAATTACATGTTCTGTTGCGTTTGTCTTCTACAGGGAGTAAATTTAAATATGGTATTTTGTGCACAATCCTATTCACTTGCTGAGTTTAACACATTGATTTTTTTTAACATGTTAAATTCAGTTAATAAACTGCGCATTAAAATGTTCAGATGTGTGTTTTCTGTAGAGGATATGTGAGCATTTTTTTAAGATAAAATCTGTGCTAATGTTCTTATACCAACATTATCACATGATCCAGTTCATGCAACGTAATTTATAAGCTGTTTTTTCCTTTTTTACAGTTGCATGTTTTCTTTTAGAACAGCAAAATCGCTGAACTTGAAATTTTTAATGAAGTCCCAGCGAAAGCTTGGCTGTTTGCTCTCTGAACCTTTTCTAATTGGATGCGCTTGGATCCTCTCTCGGTTCTTGTATCGTTCTAATTGGACACGTTTGCTCTCCTGCCTCCACCAGTCACATCGTGCTGATGCTAGCTGATGACATGGCCTGTAACCACAGAAATCCCAAGCCAGCCACCGTGTTTAGCCACAAGAACATGGAGCTGAACGTGTACGGTGACGATGTGGAGGTGGATTATCGTGGATACGAGGTGGGTGGTAGCACACAGCCTCACATTAAGGCCCTTAACTTTCCCTGTTAACCTGGTAAAACGCACTCCATTCTGACTCATCTCCTGTCAAAACTTTGTGTGGGCTGAGAGGCACTGAACAAAATGGTGATTTTGGTCATAGTTTTGGAGATGGAGTTTGTCTGAGGGTGGATATGTTGTTCATGTTTGAATTTTTCACATTTATGTTTGAGTTATGTGGCCCAACAGATACATCAGTTGGCTGATAAAATTGGCCGATATTGACAACCAGTGATTTTATCGGTATCGGCTAAGTTCTGATGTGCATCTAAAACTATTCAGAGATAAATATTTTGGAAATTAGATATAAAGTCAAAGTAAAAAAGAGGATTTTCCAGAACTGAAGTTCATAAAATAATTAAGGCCCAATCCCATTACACCCCTGGCCCCTACGACTGAGCCCTTATCCCTCCGTTTTGCACGTTCATGTCTAGGGGTAGGGTGTCCTGAATGTTGTTGTGATAGAGGGGTAGGGTGAAGTGTTGGAGCTACATGACCCTCCAAACGGAGGTTTTTCAGAGTGTTGTGAGAAAAACGCAAGTTGGCTACACAAGAGACCAAAGAAACTCATAAATTTGAGAATTTCCTCTGTTAAAATGTACAGTAATGATTGTATTATCTTAGTTTAATGTCGTTTCAGTGTATTATGGTCCTTTTTTTCATAATAAACATAAAAATTGCTAGTAGTATGCTGATGTCTCGGTAGCTAGATAGCTAAATTTCCTGTTCCACCTTAAATGGTGCAGCAGTTCTGAAGAAGCTGGCGAATATCTGACTTCAGCTTCATATCACTGAGGAATTAGTGGTGGGCGATAATAAATAATTGCCCCCTCTTTGAAGGCATATGATGCCCTAAATGTAACTAAAGCCCAGCAGTGAGGAGCTGAACTTTACCCTCCTCTGCTGTCACTGCAGACTGGCAGGTCTAGTAGCTGTTAATGAAGGAATGCTCTTTTTATTTGAGGGTCCCATTTCAGAGGGAAGATTTCAACCACTACACCTTGTAACTCAGTAACAAGGGGCAACATGACACTTGAAAGCAAAGGGTAGGGGTAAAAATAAGAAATGGGATTGGGCCTAAAGGATACAAAGTAAATGGGACTCCTAACAACCACCTGGTAGACCAGCAAATCTGTAGCCATCGGATAAACAGCACTTAAAGCTTTCTTCTTTGAGAGAGAGGAGAAAATCAAGCCTCTTCAGATCTGGATAAATAACGCATTCTGTCCATTATTCCACTGTGAGAAGACAAAGAGGAAAACTGAAACAGAAGAACGCCGAAACTGGACATCTGAGATGTGCAGTAAGGTTTTGTGAACTGAGTCTAAATTTGCAGTTGTCCACACTTGGATTGTGAGAAGCAGAAAATGCAACCAACTTCTAAGACTGAACGTTGAAGGTGTGAAAAAATGCAGATTTGTTTGAAAAACTAAAAGCAAAACTTGAATTTAGTTGTTGAGGCTTCTGTGTAATTTTCTTTCAAATATTCTTTCTTGCAAAATTCAGGCTCCATGTGTTTAGCTATACATCTTACTTTTGTTCACTTTCATAAATGACATTAATCACACAGTACGAGGCACCGCATAAGCAAGCATATTTGCTGTATAGTTTAGCTGTATGTGATTATTTAGGCAAAGACTTTGCTCAATTGGTGGGGCATAACTGGGGCTGGGAATACGACTGTTTTTATCGTTATCAAGATTAAATATATCACAGTATACTTTTCTGAGCATATTGTAGGCATCATGCTTGTTTATAAACACTTCCCAAGGCGTGTTTGATTACAAAGAGAACATAATTAGTCCTCGTTAATTGGATTTAGTGCATTGAAGAATGTGAAATGTTCATTTTTGATAGTATTTTTAAGTGCTGTACTACTTTGTCTACGTTGACAACTTGACAGATGTCAGAAAACATATATACCTTGACATATCCTGCATCGTGAAAACTTCTTGAAGTATTGTGATATTGCATTTTTGCCATATCGCCCACCTCTTGGCATAATCTTCTGCTTGTTAGCTATGTTAGCCTTGTAGCTCCTTTGCAAATCTTAAGAGGCAAACTTTGCACAACTCCAAACTTTTCCTTGGCTTTGCAATCATTAGTGGCACATGCATTTGTAAAATGAAGCTCTGATTTTTTTTAGGTCACTGTGGAGAATTTTCTGCGAGTTCTAACAGGAAGACTCCCACCCAGCACCCCTCGGTCCAAACGGCTACTGTCTGACGACCGCAGCAACATCCTCATCTACCTGACAGGTACAGCTGGCACTGCTTGCAAACCAAAAAATAAGTGTAATTCTGGTAACACTTGAATTTGATTGTCCACTATAGCTTATAGCTCACCATTTTTGCCTGCACCCACCTGCTTGAACCACATGCCATGCCCACCCGCACCCACCTACTTCGGGCTGTGTTTGAGCTTTTCATCAACTCCCGCCTGTATTTGCTGTAATGAGCTTCACTGGTGTAGGACGTGTCCATGCAAACCTTGTGACAAAGCGGAGCCTCCAGACCCATCGCACCTCCACACACTCAGCAGCAGAAATAAACGCTTCAAGGTTGCAAAAGAAAAGTAAATATTTTATGTATTTTAGGCTAATCAAAGCCATGGGAACTTACACATGGCTCTACACAATGAGCGTCGCATCACTGACATCACTGTTGAAAGACAAGCGGGGAGGACCACAGGCAAATCAGCAGCTTGGCTTTGCTACTAACATTATCCTAACTTGTGTCAGCATAATATTATTAATATTTATTAATTAATTAATATTTTTAATAATTAATATTATTACTCTGGAAGATGTCTACAAGTCAGGTGAAATTAAATCAAAGCCGAAACAGAGACTGAGGCTGCGGCACAGGTTAAAAATCCAAAAGAACTGTCATGGAAGAAAATAAGTTTGATTCTGTGCCAAGTTGTTTATTTACTGGATGTTCTATACCTTCATGTATTGTCATGCTCGTGATCACTAACGTGTTTTTTTCTGCACCACACTTGCAGCTCATTTGTGGCTTGCCTGTTCGCTTCTACAATAATTGTTCAAGCCCACCCACTCAGCCAGCTATAATACCCGCCCACACTAGCCCACAACCAGTTGGCTGCTTACCTGGAATGACTGCAGTGCTTCAAAATGAATCCCGGCCTCATATTATTCAGCAAATCACACCGTTTACAACAGCAATAGCTACATATTTAACTTCGGCCAGTGTGCGCCCTGAAATTCAACCCTAAATCTCAACCTCAACACTCGCTCTAACCGAGAGGTCTGCGGGTTCACCTGGGGGTTCGCCTGATCTGCTAAATAATTTGAAGGTGGGATTCATTTTGAAGCACTGCAGTCATTGCAGATAAGCAGCCAACTGGTTGCAGGCTCGTGTGGGCGGGTATTACGGCTGGCTGAGTGGGGCTTGGACAATTATTGGCTGCTTGTGGAAGCAAAATACATGAAGCTATAGAACATCCAGCAAATATCTATGCACAAAATCAAATGATTTTTTTTCCACATTTTTAAATATGTAGCTATTGCTGTTGTAAACACTACTTGCCTTTTACAGCGATGCTACAGTAGTCTCTTGGACAAGATTTTCTGGATTAAAGGCTAAGAAAATCCCCTTTGTGATGATGTATCTTAATAGGAAGGGCTTTTGCAAAACCTCCGAGGGCCAGATACTTGAGAATAAGGTGTTGGAATATGTTTATTTTTCTGCTAATGCAAAAGGCTGACATTACTGATATGAAGCTAAATATTTGTTGTATCTGTTAGCCTCTACATCAGTGCATTTCTTTGTCGCAGTTGTGGGGATTCCTGATGGTTAATGAAATATAAGGCCTTGTTTACACAGCAGGTAAAAGTGGCCCAAATCCGGTCTTTTTCTTCGTATGTGTCACAGATGTGTGTCTGTGTGTCAGGGTGAACGGCAAAAAACACTGAATCTGACATTTTCTGACGATTTGAGACGCTTTCATACGTGGTCCTGAAATCCGATATCCGATATGCAGCAATGCGACTCAGCCTGAACAGCCAGATCGGAATTCATGCGACTTTTATGTCAATCCAACTCGACATTTTTCATAATTTCATGCGGCTGAGACCTCATAAACGTTTGGGCTGATGGTTCTGTACCAAAAAATTAGAAGAGACTTATCCAAAATCCTTCATGTTTGAAGAGATTTTGAAAGAAATGTCCGAACGCGGCCGTAGGAGAACGAGGCTGCAGCGTCAAAGAACAGTTAAAAGTCTAAAAGCAAGGTTTAAAGAATCCGAGAACACGAACCAAAGAAGTGACCGCGCCCTTTTTACGACAAGCTCGAACACATTCTGGGTGATGAGTCCAGCTGTCAGTCAGTGAAGCTTCATGGTGGCTTCTGTGATGCTGGTGAAGATGAAGCTGACCCTCCGGGAGTGACTGGCGTTCATTGGCAGTCGTGATTGTTTACCTCTGGATGACCCACGTAAAGCAACATAACGCCTTGTTCTTTTGCGCATGTGTGTCAGTTTAGGAGCTGATCTGCTCAGACTGATGTCTCACACAGGTCACATTTGAAAGATATATATTTAAATGATTTGGTGAAAAAATTAGATTTGGGCCACTCTTACTTGCTGTGTGAACATAGCCTATGTGTAAGGCATGCTGGGTATTGTAGTAAGAGAGCACCGATGGACAATAGCGGAAAAGGTCAGTCTGATGAGGCAGAGGGATGCGATGCTGCAGAATTGTACATAACATGATAAATACCAAGAGTGACTGTATACTAGCCTGACTTTAAGGCGAGGGTTAGAGTGAGAGGTTTTGGTTTTAGGTTTTAGGTGACCAAAACAAAGCATCTATGGTAGACTATAAAAAGAAAGCGTTACCATAATCCTTCGTATCCTGATTGTCTCTCCCGTACGTTTGCACAGGTCATGGTGGGAACGGCTTTCTGAAGTTCCAGGACTCGGAGGAGATCAGCAACGTGGAGCTTGCTGATGCTTTTGAGCAGATGTGGCAGAAGCGAAGGTACATTGATGCAGAGCGCTCCGCAGGAGGTGCATGTGCTGTTTGTTTGGCAAACAACACGATTTCATAGTTGGTTCATCTGCGTTACTGTTTGCCTCATACTCATTTTCTGACCATCACTGTTTGTGTAGTGGCAGAGGCCTTCACTGACATAATGCACTGATAAGGCTGAGCTATTACTGAGGTTTGCTCAATCAAGACGTCCTTAAAGTGTTGCTATTGAGACCAAATTGTTTGGTATCAACAAGAGCCAAACATATTGCGCACCCGGTTTGTTTCAGTGACCTCATTGCCACATCGCAACCTCTCGAGGCGAAGCACTTCTCTATTGAATCAGCCTAATCTATTAATGATGTGTTTTTAGCTGTGCTAATTGCATGTTTGGAGGCCAGTGCCGTGTAATTAGCGGAGAGGTAAATGTGATGGGCAGTAAAAGATTCCATTCTACCATTATGGCTCATAGCCCGCAGGGCCATGTCGCGCTGGCTCTGCATATCAGTCTGCGAATGCCCATCAGTGTGGTAATTGGAGGGTTGATGTACCAAATTACTGCTGCGGAATCTCCTTTTGTCCACCGCTTTGCCCATGACTTCACAATTATGTCCTTACTTCCTTTAGAACGAGTGCTTCTCTTTCCTATTTTCCTCTCCTAGATGTGGATGTTCAGGGGTTTTGCCTTGTTATTAAGGGCCAGAAACAAAGAAAAAGCAAAACAATGGCATACAAACTCCATGTTTTGTGAAAGAGTACCAGCCTCAGGTCTTTTTTTTGTTGCCGCGGCAACAGCCCGCAGAGGAGTGGGATGATTAGTTCCTGTTCTGTGGCAGGAAGTAGAGGTGGGCCCTCATGGCCTTGTGTTCTTTGTCCGTTTCTATGTTTTCCTTCTTCTTCCATTTCCGTTTTTTTACAGATCCAGACCTGTATTCAGAGCATTGTTCCTTTTCGTAGGTACAACGAGTTGCTGTTCATAATTGACACCTGCCAGGGAGCTTCCATGTACGAGAGGTTTTACTCGCCCAACATCATGGCCCTCGCTAGTAGCCAAGTTGGAGAGGACTCGCTTTCAGTAAGTCCATCAACGTTAGTAAAGCCTACACGCTTAAAAATGATGGTAGTTTACTAAAGAAAATGCTTCTATGTATACCACCATAAACACTCAGACAACCTGGAGTTTTTAAACACTGTGTCCACTCACTGTCCACTCTATTAGACACTCCTACCTTCTCAGTCCACTTTGTAGATGTAAAGTCAGAGACGATAGCTCATCTGCTGCTGCACAGTTTGTGTTGGTCATCCTCTAGTCCTTCATCAGTGGTCACAGGACGCTGCCCACAGGATGCTGTTGGCTGGATATTTTTGGTTGGTGGACTATTCTCAGTCCAGCAGTGACACTGAGGTGTTTAAAAACTCCAGCAGCACTGCTGTGTCTGATCCACTCAGACCAGCGCAACACACACTAACACACCACCACCACGTCAGTGTTACTGCAGTGCTGAGAATGATCCACCATCCAAATAGTACCTGCTCTGTGAGGGTCCATGGGGGTCCTGACCACTGAAGAACAGGGTAAAAGGGGGCTAACAAAGTATGCAGAGAAACAGATGGACTACAGTCTGTAACTGTAGAACTACAAAGTGCACCTATATGGTAAGCGGAGCTGATAAAATGGACAATGAGCGTAGAAACAAGGAGGTGGTCATAATGTTTTGCCTGACTGGTGTATATTGTTATTGTGATAAACTATGTCACAATACAATATAGTATCATTTTCTGAATATATTGTGCATATCATCATACTTGTAGAAAACTGACCAACTGTGTGTTTCATTATAAAGAGAGCTAAATTATTCCAATTTAACTGGATTTAGTGCAACATTGTATGACAAACATTGAGTAAAAATCATTATATTGACAGTTTTTGATAGTAAAGTGTATGCAGTATGAATCTCAGGTTTGATTCTACAGTATGAACTTACAGTGTCTGTGTTTACATGCAAAGATTTTTGCCAATCTGATTGAATACAATCCGATTGCAGATTCAGACTGAGGTGTTTATGCTCACTCTACTCAACAATCAGATGGAAAATCTCTGTTTACATGCTCACTACAAGTAATCAGATCCAAAATTATGCATAGAGAACCACTTAGAGTAAGTGTTACCATGACAACCAGCATCACGTGAGTCCAGTCAGAGTGAGATGAGCCGCAGTGAGCAGCGCTTGTGTTTTAATTACTTTAAAATGATGTCAGACTCAGGAAAACATCCTTCACATGTCCTTATTAAAGAAGGCCGAGAGGAAGACGTCGTGTTCTGAGACACATAAACTGGACGTCTGTCCCACCGATCAGAGCATAAACTTCGTCTCCTCTGCAGACCAGTTTCTGCTCCGCCATGCTGAACGGTACCCACCTCGTTCAGTCGGATAGAAATTGTATTTCGAATGGCCTCAGCTGGACTAGACTATTCCGATTGAGGTGTTTACGTGGATATATTCTATTCCGATTGAGCTATTAGTCGGATTATTAACGGATTATCAGGCTGCATGTAAACGTGGCTAGTATGAATCTCAGGTTTGATTCTACAATATGAATCTCTGGTTTGATTTTACAGTATTTTACAGTGTGAATCTCAGGTTCGCTTCTATGATATGAAACCTAAATTTCCCTTTTTTAGTTTGAATCTCGGGTTTGATTCTACAGTATGAATCTTAGATTCACCTTCGTTATGAATATGAATCCCACATTCACCTTTTACCTGAATCTTAGGTTTGCATTACATGTGAATCTCAGGTTTGCTTCTACAATATGAGCCTCATGTTTGCCTTTTACAGTATAAATCTCAGATTTGTTCACTTGTGGTTTCTTTCTCTGATCTGTAGCACCAGCCAGACCTTGCCATAGGGGTTCACTTGATGGACAGATACACCTTCTACCTACTGGAATTCCTGGAAGACATCCATCCTGCTAGCCAGGCTAACATGAATGATCTGGTGAGCGCATCTACACTTCACATCCACTTAAACAGAAACTCTTGTGCTTGTACTCCCGGTCCCTGTCTACTATATGAGCTCCACCTGCCTTAAAGGTCCACTATATAGGTGTAAAATTACAGACTGAATCCATCCGTTGCTGCACAGTTTATCGGAACCATCGGGATAGGGCTGGCATGAACAGCGTCTTTGAAAGTTTGTTAATATTTCCAAATCCAGATTATTACCAGCACAAAAGCCAGGGCCTATCATGGAATGGGGCTGCATTATGCCTATGGCACGAGTACCTTATACCTTATTGCTTACGCTTTTTTCAACATGACAACGTCCTGCACAGAGAGCGCAGGTGCTAGACTAACCGCAGTCCAGACCTGTCTCCCATTGACAAGGTGTAGCGCATTATGAAGTGTGAATACGACAACCAAGGCAGTGCACAATTGCACAGCTCAAGACTTGTATGATGGAAAAAACCTGTCCCATTTTTGAAATTGAGACTTGTGTATTTAAAATAATAATTTACTAAAATGTGATGATCTTGTTGGTGTGGTGGTTTCAGAGCACAATGTGTACTGTATTAACTGTGTGTGGAGGAGACTTTTCTCTGATCCAGCAGTAAAAACTTGTGGTAATTTCAGCAAAATAAACAGATGTGCTGTTTAGAAAGTATGTCAGAAAGTCTGAAAAAAGAGCTGATATTCCTGTCTGAAGCCTTTACGTGAGAGAGCCGTGTGGTTTGGACACAAGGTTGTACTCCAGTATGGATCACTGTACTGATGTGAGATGACCAACCATCTGATTGCACATTTTCACTGAGCATTTAATGATTTAAGGTGCTCCTTCACATGATTTCTGAGGCATCTCTGCTCTTTTTTCTTCAGTAGGCATGTGGAAAGTGACGTGGTTTGTTGCTCTCTGGTGACATGGATTGATGTTCAAGGTGAAGTGGTGCTTTTGGGGTTTTTTTACATACGTCAGTATCACTGCTAGGTGGTCAGAAGCTGGCCACTGATGAAGGGCTGGAGGATGGCTGATACAGACTGCATCAACTGATTAGCTGCCTCTAAATGTACAAGAGCAGGGGAGGGGTTTCCAATAAAGTGGCCAGCGAGTGCTTCTTTGGTTCAAAAAAAAAAATTTTTTCAGTTTTCCTCGAAAACTGCTATGGAGTGAGAGATAATCTTGTGTTTGTGTGCGATCTAAGGTTGAGTGCTTGCTTCTCCGAGGCCTCCAGCTGTGACAGATGAAAAAGCCCGGGCGGTGGATACTGCGGTCCCTCCGGCCGCGCTGCATTAAAAGGAATGGCTAATCCGCCCTTGGGTCAAGATGCTTTGAAACAGACAGGAGGTAGACCTTTTCTCTGAAGGCCTCGTCAGCCAGCCATTCGTTATCCACACATCTGACTTGGTCGGGTGTCCCACCCCCTCCTCCCAAACCGATTTTGATCTGGCCTTTATTTATTTATTTATTTATTTATTTATTTTTTACTGTCCTCCTCCACACTCTCAGACCGACCCAGATCAAACAGGTTCAACAATTGGGCTTTTATTCTGCACTGATGCTTTTTGCCGCCTGCGTCATCTTTTTCAGCCCGTTCTTTAGGATTACCGTCGATATTATGGATTTCCTCTGGGACGAGAGACTTTTTAATCCTGAAAGAAAGAGCCTCTCAGATGAAATTACAATGATGTCTCGTTTTTTTTTCACCTCCCATCTCTTGTTTCTCCCTCCCTCCTTCCCTCCGTCACTCGACTGGCAGCACTGACACCGAGAGAAAAGCATTGTGAGTCGCAGACGCCGTCGCAGTGCTGCCGATTAATTTAGCCCCATTTGAAACAGTTCAACAGGCATCAAGTATGCACTTAAGGAAATTTCACCTTGCCTCCAATTTGTTGCTTGCCGAACCGTTTGAAATGACTCGATTGAGTGCTCAGGAGCTGACATCTAGAAATATGACTTACTGCCAAATGCAGAGAACAGGCGTTCAGACTTTTTTTTTATGTTAATCGACATTGTTTTACAAGGTCAAAAGCCTGGCACTTAATTTGAGGAATAGACTCATTTAATTCAGTCAACTGCCGCAGTTGAACAGAAGATGTTTACAGTAGTGCCCATAATATCGCTCAAAATGTGCCAATAATTATCGACTTTTTTGGTCGCAGCATCACAGTGATTCAAACCTACAGTCTCCTGATGATTGGACAAAAACCTCACAGCAATACAGGCTTAACAGACAGGACATCCTTTATAATAACCATGTAGTTACATGTAAACAATGCATGCAACTGCTTTGTAACTACTGAGGATGTCTTCACTGTTTCAGATGGATCACGGTGTAATTACACATGTATAAAAGATAATTAAAAAGATAATTACGAGTTTTAATTAAGCGGCATGTTAAAGAGATACTAAAGGTGAGTGTAGGAGCCAAATTTGGCTTCTGTGTAATCTTGTCTTTGTAAATATTTCAGTACCGTTTTGGGAACACTAGGGGGCGAGCTGAACTAGGTGACGGGTCAGGTGACGAGTCAGGTGCTTATAGTCACAAGACGCTCGGGTGGCGGGAACATACGGTTCTTACCACAATTGCTATAACAAACAAAGCCTTGACTGGATTATAATTCTGCAATTCAAGTTCATCTTCATCACTGGTGACCATATTTATCACCTAGGGTAAAAGAGTCTTTTCTGTAGATAAATCTCTCAATAAACGGGAACACCACCCAAGAGCAAGTTTGGACTTTTGTTCTTTGGATGTGCGTGAAGGAACATTCTACGCCCCCGAGCAGGTGACTAAGAAATAGGTTCTCCGATGGTCACTACAGTGAGCACTGAGCTTGACTGCCTAATAAAAGGTGAACTGAGTTCCGCAGTTTTTTTTTTTCATTTTACTGAAGGTGTTTGCAGAAGGTCATTATCTGCAGATCTGAGATCAGGCATCAAAACATAAACAGACAGACACTGATGTACGCAGGTGCTTTAAGGTCATTTAGAGCCTTAAAGACTAGTAGCAGAAGTCAGTGTGGTTTTAAAACGGGAGTGTCTTTGTTCAGATCTGCGCTGCATTTTGTACGAGTTGTAGAGGATGTGTTGTTTTCTTAGGGAGTCCAGTAAGAAGATCATTACAGTGATCAACTCTGCTTGTAACAAATGCATGAACAAGTTTCTCTGCGTCTCTCTGAGGTAAAAAAGACCAAACTTTAGCAACATCTTTCATATGACGAAACCTTATTTTGGTTATCACGTTATTGATTCACTAGTACACTTTTATTGTATTACAAGACATATCATAGCGAGAATACATAGCATTAGTCACAATAGTGGTATTTTTGTCTTAATCATGCAGCTCTACTAGTGCCAAATGACATTTTTGCTGTGAAAAAATGAGGGAGAATCAAACAGAAAGACAGTCACAGAAAACACAGGTGTTCTACCCCACTGATCAGTCACGAGTGATGAACCTTTTCTCGTTAGCGTAGCGGGAGCTCGCAAATGTAAAAGGAAACGCACAGAATTGCTCACAAAACTGACAAACCAGTTTGATTAAATGCAGCTGTCAAGTGTTTGATATGACAAGAAGCTAATTTGAAACAAAGCTTCATTTTGGATGTGTTATCTTCAGTTTTGGAAACTGCTAAAACTTGCTTTGGAAATTGACCCATTATGCATTTTATCCAAAGCGCAGCACAAGTTGCAACAGTTCACCATTGACAAAACAAACTGTGTTTGGCTAGAACGATGACTCGCAATTAGGGATGGAGAATTTCACCATCTGTTCGAACAGCTGCATTTTTAAATGCATAGTGTTGGTTTCCCAATGAAAAAAGTATTTTATGCAGAACAGATGAATTTGGCCTTTGTTTATTGCTAGCATAAGAGGCGATCCGTACCTAAAGGGTTGGTATTTTAGTCTTTTTTATTAGATTATTTATTTTAGTGGGTCACTACCGTATGACCTACAGAACAATAACTCTGAGGCTTACAACTAAAAGACAAGGGCCAGCTGGCAGGCTTAAAGTTTTATTACACTCTTCTGTGAGAACTTCCTAAGAATAGCTCAGCCATTTTGCACTGGAGTCCCTGTAATTACTGAAAAATAAGCCTGAGATTTTAAGGGGTCAAAACACACAGCTTTTTGTCTGAGCTACGTCTGTATACAGCTGTGCTATGATGTTGCTGTTTTGCTTAACGTGAGATGCAGCTCACCATTTCCTGTGGTTCACAAGTCCAGGCAAAAACGTATTAGCTACATGTGTGCCATCTTCGAATACCTGAAATCTAAATTTTTAGATTCTTTTTACATTGTTAGTTCATCTCTTTGCTCCTATTAAGCACAATTAACCATCATTTTAAAAATTCTGTAATATTCTATTGTAATACAATGACTTTTGCAGGCTCTAAAAACACCTCTGGGGTTTTGATTACATCACTGTGCACTAGCCCACGACGCAAATTAATATTAATTAATATAATAATATTATGTTTTATTTTCCCCTCCCACCACCCCCACCGGTCATGGAGAGAAAGTGCTCAGCTAGCTCAGAGACCCTCCCTGATACCGTGTTTCACTCACAAATACATCACAATAAGCAAAGAAAATCGGTTATGGTTGTGCGTTCAACTATAAGTCGTTTATTTACTTAAGTAAAACTTTGTATTTGTCCTTTTCAGAGTACTTGCAACTTATTATACTGAGCATTTTTAAAGTACTTTTTACTCCTTACTTTATACATCTTAGTCATTAGCATTTAGTTATTATCAGATAGTTTATTTTCAAATTCCTTTTGATTAATTTGATTATGTTACATCTGTACTGCTTTGTGATTTATGAGGTTTTTCATTTATTTTAGATGAGGGCACCAAAACGTGAAAAACAGCCCCTAGCAAACTTCAGTTCCTGCTAATAGATGCTGGATGTACTAAAAAATTCCAGGCGGTTCTAAAAGTTATTCAGCACTTCAGTACTTGAGTATGCTTTTTTTGCCTGCTCTACCCACCTCTGCTATAGATTAAACAAATAAATACTATATTGACCACAGAATAGTAAATGAATGTGTTTTGATGTCCAAATAGTTTAATATCCACACCTATCTCTACTCACAATCACGGTCGTTCTTTTTATGTGCCTCATTAGACGCATTTGACATGGTTTAAAATGTTTTCATTCTCATCATTGTCAAAAACACAAATAGTGGCTCCCAGTTGGCGCAACCGTCTGAGTGTTGGCCCTGTTGTTGAGGGTCCAGTTTCTGGTGATGCCACAGACATTCATAACCAGAAGTCCAAGAGAGCATAATTGTCCTCTCTCTCTGACATAACAGATTAGGCAGTTAGCGTTCACCTCCAAATGTGTTGAGCTGTGTTGCCTTGGAGGAAGCATGTGTTGGCCTCCAACTTCCTAGCTAAGTAACTGGGTACCCAATTTGACACTAAATTGGGTTAAATAAAAATATGATTTTTAAAATAACTAAATTACGTACTACGTCACTCTTTGCTTCCTCCACACCAAAATTCTGCGACCTAAATTCTGTAAACAAACAGTCGTATGTCAGAGTTGTTTTGTCGATTTTTCTTAGTGAAAACTTAACAGAATATATAGAAATAAATAAAATGTTTGTTTTTTTGGTGAGGAGGATTTTTTTTTCCCCCAATTTTTTTCCTGATTTAAATGTGTCCACTTCCACCTACTAATTAGGACTCCCCCAATCACATGATACCACCAGCACTAGGAGGGAAGACTGTGAAAGTCACAGGCTTCCTCCAAGACCTGTGAATCTTTTCAAACTGGCACTAACACAACGTCAGTGCACAACTAAAAACGCTCGGAGGAAAGCGCCAACTGCCAGTTCTGTTAAGTCAGCTACATCGCACCTGCGCTGACTAGCATCGCACTGAGTGATGGGGGGAGAAGGGGGGCCATCCTACCCAAAGAGAGCAAGGCCAACTGTGCTCTCTTGGACTTCCAGTCATGAATGACTGTAGTATCACTGAGGATCAAACTCACGATCTCCTGATGACGGGGTCAACGCTTACACGGTTGCACCACTCGGGAGCTTAAATCTTTTACATACAACCGTAGGTTCTGTCTTTCTGTACTCAAATATATTATAGTTTCACATTAAAACATACAGCACTGTGCAAAAGTCGTAGGCACCTTTTATTTTACCATATGTCCTGAAAATAATGATGTTTTTGCTTGGAAAAACCAGATTATCACTAGAACTAATGCAAATAAACTTACAGTAAAAAGGAACAAGAATTTCTTATTTGCAAAGAAGTAGCTGTGAGCTCATTAGAAGGACAAAGTTTGGTTCCAGATTTTTCCAGGATGCTTCCAACCATCACATGGATTTCCATCACCAGCACATTTAATTCAGTATAATGAAGCACTGATTAACCAAATCTTTGTTTGGAAAGGGTTAAAAACACATTGACATACATAAAATCACTATTTATTACATAAATATTATTTGTATTTATTCTAATAATGTTTTTTTTGAGTAAACAAACCAAACTGCCCAGATAAATAGCTTTTTACTACTGTGCAGACTGACCATTCAGTTGTGGCTAAAAAGCTATTACTGAGTGGTTGGTTTCAGACACATAGCTATAAGTGAACGCTCTAGTGAATACTAATCAGACTGTAATTTTGAGCCATTGTAGCAGCTCTTTTTATGTTGACATTTACGGAGATGAAGTCTAAACTCTGGGCAATTGCTGCTGTGCTGTTCAGTGTATTTGTTTCAGCCACCTGTTATTAACAGTAATCTCGAAGGCCTTCTTCACGCATCCTGATATCTCCATATAAACTCCCTCAATTTCGCTCATAATTTAAATATGCAAACTGGTATTTGTTCCCGATAGGCAAATGCTATTACAATGCTAATGACTTATGAGTTTGAGGCATTTCCCTGATTTAGAAAGCTCTGCAGGCTGACTAAGAGACTAAGAAGCACAAAAGAATTCATGAATAAATGGCACGTAACTGCCTAGAGGGGTGGGGATGGTCTGCTCTGCGAATTAACATCCATTGAATGTTCTTGTGTGTTGCAGTTCAAGGTGTGCCCGAAAAGCCAGTGTGTGTCCACCCCGGGTCACCGCACTGACCTGTTCCTGCGAGACCCCGGAAGCGTGCTCATCACCGATTTCTTCGGAAGCGTCCGCAAAGTGGAGATCACCCGAGAAGCCGTCAATTTAACCTCCGCCGCAGAGCAGCCAGTGGAAGTGACGTAAGTGTAGTGGCTCTCTGAGAGCAGCACGCGTTTTGAACTCTGATGATGTGGTGCTTGAAGGAGTAGCTTGGCAAAGAAGCTAATTCACACAATATTCCCCTCACTGCAAAAGTAGTCAATCCACAGAGGCAAGATTGCTTCTTTGGTTGTGCAATGAATTTAATACACTTTCATATGCAGTATTGAAGTCCGATACGTATCCGATATGTGGCAATGCGACTCTGAACAGCCAGATTGGAATTCATGCGACTTTTACATCAGTCCAGATCCATATTTGTTATAATTTTGCGCTGCTGAGACCTCATAAACATTTGGGGTGATGTTTCTGTAAAAATTAGAAGAGGCTTATCCAAACCCCTCCATGTTTGAAGAAGTTTCGAAAGAAATGGCCGAATGGAGCCGCAAGACGCCAAGGCTGCAGCGTCCTGTGATGCTGGCGAAGATGAAGCTGAACCCTCTGGGAGCGACTGGTGTTTGTTGGCAGTCGTGATTGTTTCCCTCTGGACGAGCCGCGTGAAGCAGCGTGACGCGTTGTTCTTTTGCGCGTACGGGTCGGTTTAGGAGCTGATCTGTTCAGACTGATGTTGCATACAGATCACATTTAAAGATATTGTGAACATCCATCCATCCGTCCATCATCTAAACCGCTTATCCTTCTGGGTCGCAGTGGGGTGCTGGAGCCTATCCCAGCTGTCATTGGGCAGAAGGCAGGATACACCCTGGACGAGTCGCCAGTCCATCGCAGGGCAGACAGACAGACACACACATTCACACACTCACTCACTCACTCACTCACACCTAGGGGCAATTTAGCACATCCAGTTGGCCTGACTGCATGTTTTTGGACAGTGGGAGGAAACCGGAGTACCCGGAGGAAACCCACACGGACACGGGGAGAACAGGCAAACTCCACACAGAAATGACCCTGGTCACCCGGCTGGGAATCGAACCCAGGCCATTCTTGCTGTGAGGTGACAGCGCTACCCACTGCGCCACCGTGCCGCCCCGATATTGTGAACAGCCAAACAGAAAGATCAGATTTGGTGAGAAAATCGGATTTGAACCACTCTTACCTGCTGTGTGAACGTAGCCTTAGATCACATGTTGGAACATAAACAAATATTCTGTGATGTAAGTGGTGCTTTAAGGTCATTTAGAGCCTTAAAAACTAGTAGCAGAACTTTACAGACATCTATCCTGAATGATACAGACAGTATCTAAACAGGGATAACATGAGCTCTCTGTATTGTCTTTGTTCAGATCTGTGCTGCTCCATTTTGTACGAGTTCTAGAGGATGTTCTGGTTGCTTAGACAGTCCAGTCAGAAGAGCATTACAATAATCAACTGTGCTTGTAACAAAGAAATGAACAGGTTTCTCTGTGTTGCTCCAAGATAGAAAGGCAGAAGATGCTGAGTGGCATTTTTAGAATAATGCCTTACTAATGACATCTATAAAATGGACAAAGGTGCATTGCATTAGCTAAAATCAGCATTTATAGCCATGTGAAGCCTCAATTCTCTCTCTGCTTTTGTCCATTTGTATGAATAACGGTGTGTCGTACGGTGTCGGATACCACGTAAGCACATCGAGCCTCTAAATATGATTTTATTGAATAAGAAGACAGTCATGACTAGCAAAATGATAATGCCTCGCAGATCTGTCATACTTGAATGTAATTACGGATGCAATTACGGATAAAATTATGCATGACTCTTTGTTTTGTTCGTTAATTACGGGTGACTCTGCTTTGTTCCGCATAATGCACTGATTGACACATTTGCTAACTTCACTTACGGAGGACGTGCACGTGACCATTTCCTTCTAAAAGAACGCGTACAGCCGAGGCTCTGATCACCAAGCGAGCAAGTAAACATACACCTCACATCGTAAGTCACACATGCTCAGCTGGTTGGTCTAATTACCCTTTTTTTAAAATAGACTGCTGTGGAGAAAAGACTTTGGTTTGCCTTTGCTCTGCAAGCCTGGCCGGTGATCAAATAAAAGCCTTATTTGCGATATCGGCCCCTCTAATGACCTGCTAATAACCTGCCGTGCTGCTGTTGCTATGGTCACCACAGAACAGGACAAATCGGGACACGATCCAGTTTGTCCAGCGCTGAAAAGGCTCGCAGGGAGGCCACATTCCACCCAGCCCATTTCCTCCTATTAACAGAGTCCATTACTTCATTTAACAGCAGCGTTAGCTCCAGCTGTTCTACCAAACCTGTGTGTCCTGCACTGCCGCAGGATTTCTCACCTAGTTTTTCCTTTTGCCTGAATGTGTTGGTGGAAGGCTCAGTACATTCCTGGGACATAATGTGGCATCAAAGTCCTTCTCTGAGAGGATCACATTGGACTCCCATTCTAGTTATGTGGTGAATGAATGAGCCAGTGCTTTTACCCCATACTAGCACTGCTATGCTTTTAGCCTCACCAGCACTGCTAAGCTCCTTGTAGGTCAGACTGAGCCTTTGTTATGGACATCTCATGGTTTGGAAATGTCACCTAAGGACAAATTAACACTGTCCCAGAAGTTTTATGGAACAAAATGGTGAAATATTAACATCCAGCAACGTTTGAAAGAAAAAAAAAAAGGCAAAAAAAAAGATAAAACGCAGCTCAAAAATGCTAATTGAGAACTTTCTTAGCAGGCCGTAATTTCCTACTGACATCCTTCTATCCAACACTCCTAGACCGCTTCACTGTTTCTGCTGAAAGCGAGGAGAAATTGATAAAGCGAGTGCTGCATATACAAGTGACACTGTGTCCATGACTCATATAAAACAGTCCAGATTTTATGAGGCAATGCCTTAAAGAAGCTGATGTTATTGATCGTAAGTGCATCCAGGGAATGCTGGCATGGACAGTGTGGTGAGCGAATGGACAGGCAAATGAAGGACGTGCAGGCAGATGAGGTAGCTTGCTATATCAGTTGTGCTTTCAAGGTTAGCTTTCGCTTGGTTGTTAGCTTTCACTCATTAAACTGCTCATACTTGAGGAGAGGGAGATTGTGGGGGGCAAATAGTTATACTAAAGCTGTGTAGCACATCAGGCTTGTGATTGGTGAGGGTTATTGTGTTGAAATACATTGGTCATTTATTGGACATTTGTTGTTTATAGGACATGTTTTGTGCATGTGCAGTGTGCACCCACAAGACCGTGATTAGCCAAATTAGAAAGTAAACATGGATTTAGGCTTAAAATTTCAACTTGCTGGAGGTACTGAAAACCAAGTGCAGTACACTATCTCTCTCTCTCTCTCTCTCTCTCTCTCTCTCTCTCTCTATATATATATATATATATATATATATATGTGTGTATCTCGCTGTGGTCGGAAAAAAACCTTGTATCTCCATTTTTTTTTTGTCGTTTTTCAGTTTTTTACATAATTTGAAATGTAAATTTCACAATGAATGGACCAAAAGTAATGGCTCAAAATGGCTTGGAAAAAAGTCTGGTTCCACTGACTTACATTAAAAGTAAAGTAGGTTTTTTCCTTTTCCTGTAAAGTTACTGTTTTGGAGATACAAGGTTTTGTTCCGAAAAAAGCAATATATTAGCAAACCACAGTTATGTATGTTAAATACATTAAAAACGTAATCCCAACAAGTTGGTTCACCAATTTATAATGGTTCACCAGATATAAACAGTGTATAGCACCTTTTAGTACATATAGTGCAAATATCTGTGTATATATGTACTCAATGTAATATATAGAGATGCTTTAAAAAAATAATAAGAACACAGTAATGTTAAACAATGAGCTGGACTATGTCAGTTTACATATAATGGTTGAACCTCTTAATATGAATTTAATCTCAGGCATGTTTGTTAAATGTAAAAGACTGTAACACTGTGTGGACACTAGATATGTGTAGTCTGCTGTCATATACAGATGTAGCCACTGCCTTGTGGTGCTTTAAGGAGGCCACCACAAGGGGGCAGTAGCGCATCACCCTTTCTTTCCTCCTGTCTTTAGAGCCTAATGTTTACCATGGGCCTTTTTCCATAGTTAAGCTCCCATATAATGTCTTAGTTTAAGAGAAATCCCAACTAATCTGTGATCAAATACAATTACAAAAGCCTGCTTTTGCTAATATTATAATTAGAAGTTAAAACGGTTTTAAAACTGCTGACTCATGTGGCGTAACTGAAGCTGGCCAGTGTCACAGTATAGGGAATGCAATAGCTGTATCTCAGAGTATTGATGAGGGCACTGGCTTCCGTACTGGTCTGCAGATTCATTAAAAAGCCTTTTCACATAAATCCAAAGGTCTCACAAATACGGTACAAAGCATGCAACAGTATGAAATATGAATTACTCAATCGTAGCACAAAATACTAAACAAATCGACAACCTTGTTGCTTCACAGCTGTAACTCCCATTTGTAAATACGATGAGATGTTGTCAGGCCTGCAAATGTGCTGGCTGGCTTACGTAAATAGTGTTATGCCCTAATCGAATCGTCAAAGATGCTTTGCAACCAATTAGCATGTTAAATGAGGAATTAGTCGTATGGTTTTAGCCACTGCACGTAACTATTTTTTTTTAGAAAAACAAAAAAACTCCCGCCCCTCCCTCCATTCCCTGTTCCATTACCGCCCCGCTGATTAGTACCAGCGCAGCACGCTCCCTTCCCGAAGCCTCGAATTAAAATGGCCCAAATGAAGAAGCTCTCCCATTAATTGGACAAGCTGTCACTTAGAGGTGGTTGGTAATGGAGATGGCTGTTAGCATGTTTCCAGCACTAATCTTCACTTTTCCTCGGATGCGAAGTGGGACTGTTGTGAGATGAATGTTGTTTATGCTTGATCAGCAGTGTTGGGGGTTCAGATTGAATCGTTACTGTGCGCATTGCCTTTATTTGGGTGAGTGAAAAGTTTTCGGTCCGACAGTGACTGCATACAGCACTGTGAAAAAGTCTTAGTCACCTGAGAAAAAGCTGTTTATTTGGGCAGTAAGGCTAATCCCATTTCTTATTTTTTTGAGTGTCA